CACCCTACTACAGGCTAGAGCATAATATTTTGACAAGGTCGTCCAGAATGATGGTGCGGGTCCGGAAAGCTTCGGTTCACGTAGCACATATGATCAAAAGGTCGTCCACGTATTGAATTAATCGGATCCCCCTGCTGCGCCAACGCTTCGCCAGCTGCTTAATTAGCTGTGTGAACACGAATGACATTGTAGCAAGCCCGAAGGGTAGTGACAGAAACTGGTATTGTTGGCCTTGCAGGGAAAATCCGAGGAACCGCCAAAATGACGGGTGAATGTCCACGTGGTGATAACCCGACTTGAGGTCTATGGTGAACAACCAATCACCCTTATGCACTAGGTCGGGGACCCTGTTAAGTCCTTCGTACCGGAATCGAGGGACGGAAAGAAATGAATTCACGTGTTGTATGTCTAGTATAAGCCGTTTCTTAGAAGGTTGAACAACCACGTTCAGTGGGCTAACGCAGGTGAGCGGCCCCTCGGCTGGGATGATACGGGCTGCGCCTGAGGCAAGTAGGTCAGCCACTGCTTCGACCGCAAAAGCCGTGTGCTGCAACGCTCCCGAGTGGTTCGGGGCATGGTGGGGAATAGGTTCGTGTAAACGCCACGGTAGGCGATACCCCGACACAATGACTTACAGGATGAAGCGACTCGTGCACCAAAAGTTCCACCATGTGGAACGCTCCCGCAAGCGTCCTCGCATGTGTCGCACATCACCTTGTGTCTTGATGTGTGGCATAAAGCCAAATTCTGGTGGGGCATGGATAGGAACACGCACTTGACAATAATTAGCATGTTATATTATGATCTAGTCATGTTAAACGCGGTGCGTATTGTCGAGACAACCTCCTACGGCCATGGCCGACGTGTAGGGCTCACATGCCCACCCATGCATTACCAAAATAAAACATCCGTCGTCCCCTTTCAATCGGGCTCTCTCTTCTCTCTATTTGTCTCTTTTTCTTATTTTTTCTTGTTTCCTCTCTTCCTCTCTCCCACTTCTTCTAGTAATATATATTCAACGGAGCAAACTTGAGGGTCTTTCACATAATCACGCTCTCATGTATAGTTTTTTTTTTTTTTTTTTTTTTTTTGCATGTTCTATTTTGAAATAGATAACTCTTGACATTCATATACGTCGTGAATATTTAGACCAAAGGATAAGTCCAAATGGTATTTATAATAAAGAAGACAACCAAACACGAATCTTGAACAATCTTAGAGGGTTGATTGGCCCCTTGGCTCCGCTGTGGACAATCGGCTATTCCATGACCGGGTTCTCAGCAATAGAAGCAACGCCCGTCGCCATCCCTACGCCAGGTCCAATGGCGTTCCCCTTGGCCCCGAGTGCGAGGTGCAGGGCTTGGACGGGAAGTGGATGTGGGCCCACGTTGCCTTTTTTTGCTGGCCGTTGTCAGAATCCCAACCACTAGACCATTGGGATAAAAGGGCTTGTTTCAGCAGCGGGTCAGTGCGCCCATAACCCCCCAGGCAAACGCGCCTGTAACCCCCCTTAGGATCGATCGGGGATCTCACAGTGTAGCTCTACTGACACCCCCCCACACTGGGAGGCCCAGGACTAAGCACAGCGGCACCAGCCTACATGTGCATACACCGGGAATCGAACCCGAGACCGCTCTGATACCATGTCAGAATCCCAACCACTAGACCATTGGGATAAAAGGGCTTGTTTCAGCAGCGGGTCAGTGCGCCCATAACCCCCCAGGCAAACGCGCCTGTAACCCCCCCTAGGATCGATCGGGGATCTCACAGTGTAGCTCTACTGACAGCCGTCACAATTTGGGTGGCGGCCTTAACGTTTTTATCTTCCACCACCTCGCCGTACTTAATCTTTAGAGCCATGTTGGCTACTTCGAAACCGCGCTGATTCGCAGTAAATAAAAAATGAATATTTTCTTCCGCCTCATCGATGATTTGCTGAAGGTAATCAGCAAGTTGCTCGCCACCGTGAGAAGGTAAAATTGACAAGGCATGACGAGCGATAGCTTGAATGCGTTCAAAGCTAAAATGTTGAGTACGAATGCCGTCGATTTTGACGAGTGAAGAGCGTAACTGAGGACAAGCAGGAGGTATGGGGGTAAGGCTAAGGGTTGCTGGATTGGCCTTGAGACGAGCGGGATTACCTTCGTCGAGGTTCTCTACGTTGTTGTGATCGTCGTCGTCGTCGCCCTCGGGATTAGGAGGAGGGGGGGGGGGGGGGGGGGTGGGGACGGGCTGCTGCTGCTGTGGCAGCTAGACGAACAGGATCAGCAGTTGCTGCATGATCAACGTTGTTGCCGCGCTAAAGCGCCGCGAGAAGGTCGATCACGTATCTGATTGCGTCGTTATTATGTTGCCGTGCAGTGGGGTACACTATAGCGAGTACAGCCCAATTTAGGGTTTCCTATATGTACTCAACTGCCTGCTAGTGCAAACCCTCTTTCGTTTTCTATCTTTCTGCCTACTATCTCTGACATGCTATCAGAGCGGTTACGCTCCTAGCCTATGGGCCCACCGTTAGCTTCCGCTGCTGTCCTGTCTGTCGCTCGCCCCGTGGCGCGCGACGTTTTTCTTCCCGCCACGCGCTCGAGGCGCATGGCGGTTTTCTGCCCGCCGAGCGCTCGGGGCGCGCGGCGGTTTTCTGCCCGCCGTGCGCCCCGAGGCGCGCGGCGGTTTCCTGCCCCGTCGCCCGTCGAGGTGCCCTCAGGGGCTCGCGCGCGGCCCTCCTTCTCCCGTCGCCCGTCGTGGCGCCCTTGGGGGCCCGCGCGGCCCCTTCCGGTCGCCCGTCGAGGCACCCTCGGGGGCCCGCACGCTTCCCCTCCTACAGCTCGCGAACCGCCCCTGCAGCCTGCGAGCCGTCCCTGCAGCCCACGCGAGCCGCTCCTGCAGCCCGCGTGTCGCCCCTGCAGCCCGCGAGCCGCCCCTGCTGCCTCTCGCCCTCGTGCAACTGCGAGGTGGCGAGTATGGGGTTGGCGGGTGTGTGTGTCGCCACTTGCTCTTCCTCCTCCTCCGTCTCCCAATGCTGCAGCTGCCGCTGAGGGGGGTGGGTGTGTGGGAGCCGAGGGAGTGGTGCTAGGGGGGTGACGTGGGAGTGGAGCTAGGGGTGCAGCAGAGGGTGTGTGAAAGGGGTGTGGGACAGCTGGGGGAGGTTGAGTGGAGGCAGCCGTCTTGTCGTCTGCAGCGCTAGTAGTCCGGAGGCTACAATCTCCGATAGTCGCCAGTCGCCCATGGGTCAGTTACTCCAGCCGCTCGATGTAGCCGCGGAGCCAGGTACTCCTGAAGTTCGGGCCTTTGCTTCGGTAGCCACTGAGCCAGCTGCTAGAGTGTGTCTGCAGCTTCAGCCGTTGCCTCCCATCTTCTCGCCCCCACAGTCTCCCCTCCTCCTCACTTGCCCTCTGTAATAGCTTCTAGCTTTACTTATCATTGTGAACTATTGCTCTGCCTGCTTATTGTGCCGATTACACCCCACTTTGGCTATGGGGGTGTGTCAGAATGTTGTATTTGTCTAGCCTGCAGTGGGGTACTCTATAGCGAGTACAGCACAATTTAGGGTTTCCTATATGTACTCAACTGCCTGCTAGTGCAAACCCTCTTTCGTGTTCTATCTTTCTGCCTATTATCTCTGAAACACGGCGCCTTGTAGAAGAGCAGGATCGCGCCATAATGTGTTCGCCGCTAGTTTCAGTGAACATTTGCCTCAGATTCTGCTGGCTGGCGGGGTCAAGGCGAGCAATGATTTCCGCAATTTGTGCAATCCCAACTACTGGATTTTGCGAATCTCGCTGCTCGCCCTGATTCGTGTGTCGACTTGCAGAATCGGAGCAAGATCCTTGCGTGCTGGCTCCCGATTCTGACGCTCCCCACGCGCAGGATCCTGCTCGCGATTTGCACGTGCAGAATCGCGGTCGCGATCTGCACGTGCAGAATCGTGCCGATTGCGATCTGCACGTGCAGAATCGCGATGATTGCGATCTGCCTGAGCAGGATTGCGATCATTCCGGTCCTGTGCCTGGATTGCAGGACCCTGGCACGCGGGGGCGTTTTCGCCTAGCTGAGTCGGGTCGCTTGTTGCACGTGCAGCTCGCCCCTCGACTTGAAATCCAGGGGGGGCACGCTCATTACCGGGTCCTTCGGCGACGACATTAGGTGCAGAAGGCAGGGGCTGTCTCACGCCATTGAGCAGGTCAAGCGCGGTCAATGTTGCGTTTCCACCATTTCGACGTGGCGATCTTGAGCGATCGCGGGAGGAAGAAGCGCGATCCTCGTCTCTTGGCGGGGAAGCACGCGTGCCGCTGCTGCGCGTAACCATTTGTGGAGCGGGGGGCCGGCTGGTTACTGCGAAAACAAAACCAGACGCCATGGAAGAAAACCTGACGTTGATCACGTAGTTGAGTAATGTGCTCCTATGCCTAACTCTAGGCATAGGAGGGGATTAGGGAGTGTGCTGGTGGTAAGCAAAGTTGGAGATCTGAAAATGCAAATGGACTAGGTGGCAGGTCTGAGAGACTTGCCGGAATGAAGGAGTTTGTCTCCTTTACAGCAAACTCCTCTTTTAGTCGAATCACAATCTTCAAAATTTTAGAAGTTTAACTTCAAAAACTTTACATATTGTCTCTCCCCAAACCTCCCGACTACCAATTTACTGAAATTGAAAGAGAGCTGCTTCACTTGGCTTTCTCGACTGGTCTATTCGCCGAGTAGGTTGTGCCACTTATAGCTGCAGGCCAGAGTTTCACAGGATTCTCGATATATACTTGATACAACTTGCTCGACTCGCGAACAGCTCAGTTCCGCTTGCGATGGAAGACGAGCGGACTTGCGCCGCCGACGCGGAGGAAGGGGAGGCGCCCATTCATGCGGGCACAGTGGCTTTGGGCAGCGGGGCTGGGGGTTCGCGGAAGCGGAAGTAGGCGCAAGGCGCGCGGAAGAAGGGTGGGAAGGAGAAGGTCCCCGCGCTGGTGAAGCGGGGCGGGCGCGCAGCGGTGGCGGTGGGTGGCGGAGCAATGGCAGCGGTCACGGCGGGGTCCTCACTGCTCGAATACCGGGTGCCGCCCTTTTCCCGCCTCCAGCGGGCGCACGCCGCCCGTTTCCCGCCCCTCTCCCACCGCATCTCCCACCACCCCCCCCTCACTCGCGTCTCCCAATTTTGCACCAGACGTTTCATGCGCTAGATGCCGCAGCTCTGCCACTATAGCTTGTAGCGGGCCGCTCTTGCACGCACCATTGTTGGTGTGGATCCCGTGCTCTCCCAAGTCATGTCCGCCAGCCCCCCAAGTGGCACGCTCCAGCCGTCGAAGCGCTTCGTCGCTTAGCTTGCGGCGATGCGCGTTCGCCACTCCGTCGTTCCAACCCTCATGACTCGTCGCCTGGTCACGTCAAGCCGCAATGGGCGCCTACTCAACCCCGACGGGTCGTCCAGTAAACCGGGAATTATCCCTTTTTTTTCAACTATGGATACCAGTCGTCCCCATCATAACCACTCAAAGCCTTGCCTCGCCGAAATGGCTCGACTGTCCTCACTTATCCAGTTCGTCCATAAACCCTAGTTCCCCTCGTTAAACCACGAACCTTGAACTAAAATCCATCCCTGGCTCTCAATGCAGGTGCACTAAAACCGCTTTGTATCTCTTTGTACTGTAAAATATTACTACAGGAGGCTGTCGTGCAAGCAGGTGAGGTGGAGCTGAACTGAGCCACACACACACAGCCTCTGTCTGTGTGTTTGTGTGGCTCTTGCTCCCTACTGCAGCTGTTGCTGTTGCTCCTCCTCCTCCTCCTGGCAGGTGCAAGCGGTGCTGAGGGACGCCCATGTGGACACACCATACCACACCACACCACACCATACCACACCACACCCACCGTGTCTGTAGTCTGGTGCCGGACTGGACCTCACACGCACAACCCATGTGTGTCTACCTGCCTGTGGCCCCTTGGTTCTCCTCCTGGCAGGTGCAAGCGGTGCTGAGGGATGCCCATGTGGATCTCCCAGCTGCGAGGCAGAGGGGGACGGGCGATTGATCACCAGCTAGGTGCCTCTGTGTCAATGCGTGGCTGAAACTGTGTGTTAACACCTGCACCTATGTGCTAACACCAGCAACTGCCCTTCCCTTTCCTGGCAGGTGCAAGCGGTGCTGAGGGACACGCACGTGGATCTCGCAGCTGCGAGGCAGAGAGGAAAGGGCGATTGAACACCAGCAAGGTTCCATTGTTACCACCTGTAACTGCTACTGCTCCTCCTCCTGCTCCCCCTCCTGGCAGGTGCAAGCGGTCCTGAAGGACGCCCATGTGGACCTCGCAGCTGCAAGGCAGAGAAGGAAGGGCGTGGTGGTGGCTGTGGATGGCGCGGTGGAGAAACTAAGAGAAACACTTAGAGCCATGACGGATGGCGAGCAGGTGAGCGACGGTGGGAGCTCGTGTGAGGGATGCGTTCTTTTCTCCGTGGCTCGTTGCATGGGGGTGTGGTGGCGGCTGTGAGTGGCACAGTGGGGGAAGGAAACGACTCTTGTAAACCCTTTTGATAAGTTTGACGAGTGCTGCTTGAAGCATTTGGGCTGAGGAGCGGAGCTGGGGCAGTGTTGGCCAGTAATATGGGGAGAAGCATGTTCAATATGGGTGGGACAAGCATGTGGGTGTCATGAGTTGCGTGAGCAGTTTCGCTCTAGGTTGCATGGGGGGTGGGGGTTTGGAGGTAAAGCACAGCACAGCGGTTCATGCGGCAGGGGTTTCTGGGCTTGGGGTTGGGGCAAAGGCCGCGCGTGGGGGTAGGCAGAGCAGGTTGGAGATAGGGGTTGTTGGTGGGGTGGGGGGAGGTGGACACAAGAACTGTAGCAGTGCTCGTGTTAATGTTCATTGATGGTGTTGATCAGCAGGCTGCTGATGGCGATGCTCGTACTGCTGCTTTCTTCACTCACCTCCCCTCCCTCACTCCGTTTTCTTCCCTCACATCCCCTCCCTCACTCCTTTCCGCCTCCTCACTCCTTTCCCCTCCTCTCTTCCGTTTCATGTAACATGTTTCCCCTCCTTCCCCACATCGTTCCACATCTCCCCACACCTCCCCAAACCGCCCCCCATCACTGCAGGTGACAGCGGACTTGGCTCTGCCATACGTGGAGGCGCTGGTGGGGGCGGAGGGCGTGAGGAGCCTTGCCTTCACCTTCCACCGCCCCTCGCACGTGCATGTTGTCGGCAGCTTCGCCCACTCCGCCTCTCATGCCGCCTCCCACCCTGCATCGCACACGCATGTGGGCGCTGATGGTGGTGATGAGGTTGGTGAAGGGGGAGAGGGCGGAGAGGGAGGGGCAGCGGGTGTGGGGAGTGTGACGAGGCCGTGCACGCATGTGGACGTGGCTGTGGAGATGCCTCCGGTACGGTGCTGTGTGGTCTGGTGCGGTGCAGATGGATTTCCTGCACGAGTGACATACGCATTTGGTGTGCCTCACATGCTTGCTTAAATGCTTGCTCTGGAAGTGAAGGTGATCTTCCTTCTTGCACCTGCACGTGTGCGTCTCGACTGGGGTTTGAAAAGTCGTCAAAGAATTTCACACCTCCTCCAGCAGGAAAGAATCGATAAATCTGCACGCGTCAGTGTCTTCCTGCACGTGTGCTTCTGCCCCTCTCCCCATTCTTCACTTCACACTGCGTCTCCATCTGTGTGCCAGGGGTGCGTGTGCTGCAAGTACGTGCTGAACCGCCACGCTACTACTCTGCTCGTCATGTCACATGCATGCATGCATGCACTGTGCTGCGTCCGCTCACGCACTCCTCGATCATCATCACCCTAACCCCCCTTGTGCAGGTGTGCTTCCGGGAAAAGGACATGTTGAACCACCGCTTCTTCGCTTGCCGGGCGCTGTACTTCGCCACGCTAGCACGCCACCTGGCGGCGTGCGATTGGGTGGCGGCGGTGGAGTGGAGCACTCTGAGGAATGACATGTGCAAGCCCCTCCTCCTTGTCATCCCCCGTGAGCTGATTGCCATGTCTTGCCGTGCAGTGCCATGCCATGCCATGCCATGGTGTGCCGTGCCCTATTGTAATGCTATATCATGCAAAGACGTGTGCAAGCCCGTCCTCCTCTCCTTGTTATCCCCCGTGAGCTGATTAATACATGGAGTGGAACCAGTGCAAGCCATGCAATGCCATGCCATGTTGTTACCATGCCATGCCAGGTCATTTTACAATACCACCATGCAACGTGACACCATGCGATGTCACACCATGCAATGTCACACCATGCGATGTCACACCATGCAATGTCACACCATGCGATGTCACTCGATGCAATGTCACTCCATGCAATGTCACACCATACAATGTCACACCATGCAATGTCACACCATGCAATGTCACCTCCACCGCCTCCACCACCTCCACTACCGCCTCCCCCGCCGCCACCTCCACCACTCTTGCCTCCCTTGCCCTTGCCGTTGCTGCGCCTCTTACTAGGAGTAGACGCAACCCCGACCTCCTCAGCACCAAGGAAGTCAACAGCAGCAGCACAAGCGTAGGAGGGGGTTAGGGGGAAGGGGGAACACCCCTCAAAGAAGGGAGTGTGAGGAGTGCCACGAGCAGCACCTGCATCGACTATACTAGTCTCAGCTGCAAGGAGGTGCTTCTTGAGCTCGTCGACAGTGAGGTCTGTGGGGTCAAGGGCGAGAAAGTGGTCCCTGACTGCGCGAAGAGAGCCAGGGAGACAGGTGACATGAAGTAGAGAGTGATGTACATCGAGGGCGGGTTCTTGTCTAGGATCTCGGCTTTAAGCGCGGCGCGGTAGCGAGTGTCGCTAGTGCGAAGGTGGGTGATGAGGTTGGCGACTGTGACAAAGGCGGACAGCTCGGGGAAAAGGTATGGCAGTATAAGGCGGCCGAGAGCAGCAGTGGCGGGGGAGGAGTAACGAGCGACTACAACGTCGTACAGGGCTTTAGCAGTCTTGTGCTGGCCAAAGTGAGCGCGTTCGGCTAACGGCAGGTGGTTGCGAGCGGCTAGGCGAGCAGCAGCGTCACGGGTAAGCCACTGTGAGCGAGTCGCACTGTCAGCTGTGTTGGGAGGGGCGAGAGAGGCTCCAGACGCGTGGTCAAACAACGAAACGTTGTCTCTAGAATCGCTCAGTAGGTACAACTATAAGTCATCGAGCCACGTATCGAACTGGATCGGACGGCCCTTAGGATCAAATGTGAGAACGCTGAGAGTAGTCATAGCGGGCAGAGCCGGGTGGCGCGTGACGAGCAGGGTGACGCACGTGCACTAGGGAAACGCGCAAGGCACGCGACCAGCAGGGCGGCGCGCGGGCAGGGCAGGACAGCGCTCGGCCGGCAGGGCGGCGCGCGGGCAGGAAAGGGCGGCGCGCGGCTAGCGGGGCGGCGCGCGGACAGGGGCAGGGCGGACGGGCAACGCTGCGGGCTGGGGCAGCCCGCACGGGCGACGCGACGGGCAAGGGCATGGCAGACGGGTGACGCGGGGGGCTGGGGCAGCCCGCATGGGCAACGCGACGGACAGGGGCAGGGCGGACGGGCGACGCGACGGGCTTGGGCAGCGCGCACGGACGACGCGACGGGCAGGGGCAGGGCGGACGGGCGACGCGACGGGCTGGGGCAGCCCGCACGGGCGACGCAACGGGCAGCAGGGGCGCACGGGCGGCGCGACGCGATGGGCAGCAGGGGCGCGCGGCGCGACGGGCAGCAGGAGCGCGACTGGTGGGGCAGCGTGATAGACAGGGTAGGGCGCTACGGGCAGGGTAACGCGCTACGGGCAATGTAATGTGCTATGGGCAGGGTAACGTGCTATGGACAGAGAACTATATGGTGGGCCCTAATAAAAAACCGTCCTGGAACACGACCTGCTTTGAAACCATGTCAGAAGACTAAGCGAGTATGATGCATTGCGAATAGAACTTGGTACAAGAATTAACCCTAATTGGATTGTACTCCTTATGGGTTACCCCACTATAGCCTACACAACATAAGCATCATTATAGTTTGACATGGAGCACCTTCACGACACTGTCCATGTATCTGTGTGATGCTGTTACACTGCTGCTATCACACAGCCATCATCTGTTGAGATACTAGCGTGACTTAGGCTTAGGAGCCATTGCTAGTGAGTATCTTAGTAGCTTAGGTTTAAGGTTGAAGATGAATGTCAAGAAAGTTGAAAGGAGAGAATGGGACTTCACTATAGGTTTGCAAGAACATATAGCAAAGGAACAAAGAAGGCGCACCACCAAACAAAGTTTATAATAACTACACTAACTACAGCTACAGGTAGTTACAGATATATTCTGACACTCCCCCATAACTGCCTGCAGCAGAAGCTAATGCAGAGACACCCCCTGAAGGGGTACACCAAGCGCAGCAGGAGGAGAGGGCAAGTGAGGAGGAGGGATTATATGAGGAGAAGCTGCTGGCAGGTGAAGCTGCTGGCTCCAAGGTGGCTGCTTCCTGGAACCTTCCTCAGTCCTCCAACTCCCCTTTCCACACTCCTCGACAACCCTAGCACCTCTCCCCCAGCTCCCCCACACCCTCACGCCCACCCCCCCCAGCAGCAGCTGCAGCAGTGGGAGAGAAAGGACGAGGAGGGGAAGGGGATCACACACACCCATCACCCCCATACCCGCCACCCCCATAGCCTCTGTTCCACGGCTGCACGCGCAGCAGGGAGACGAAGAAGGGGGAGGGGGAAGAGCAGGGGCAGCATAGGCACGGGCAGCACAGGCATGGGCAGCAACGGGCGGCGACGGGCAGCACAGGCACGGGCAGCACAGGCACAGGCAGCAACAGGCAGCAACGGGCAGCACAGGCACGGGCAGCAACAGGCAGCAACGGGCAGCACAGGCACAGGCAGCAACGGGCGGCAACAGGCAGCATAGGCACGGGCAGCAACAGGCAGCACAGGCATGGGCAGCAACGGGCAGCACAGGCACGGGCAGCAACGGGCGGCAACGGGCAGCACAGGCACGGGCAGCAACGGGCGGCAACGGGCACCACAGGCACGGGCAGCAACGGGCGGCAACGGGCAGCATAGGCTCGGGCAGCAACAGGCGGCAACGGGCAGCACAGGCACGGGCAGCAACGGGCGGCAACGGGCAGCACAGGCACAGGCAGCAACAGGCAGCAACGAGCAGCACAGGCACGGGCAGCAACAGGCAGCAACGGGCAGCACAGGCACAGGCAGCAACGGGCGGCAACAGGCAGCACAGGCACGGGCAGCAACAGGCAGCACAGGCACGGGCAGCAACAGGCAGCACAGGCACGGGCAGCAACGGGCGGCAACGGGCAGCACAGGCACGGGCAGCAACGGGCGGCAACGGGCAGCACAGGCACAGGCAGCAACGGGCAGCAACGGGCAGCACAGGCACAGGCAGCAACAGGCAGCAACGGGCAGCACACGCACGGGCAGCAACAGGCAGCACAGGCACGGGCAGCAACGGGCAGCAACAGGCAGCACAGGCACGGGCAGCAACGGGCGGCAACGGGCAGCACAGGCAGGCAGCCGTACCGAGTCTAGGAGCGGCGGCGCATACAGCTGTAAGGTCGGCGCCGTGGGCTGCTGCTGGGGCGGCTCGCGGGGTCCAGGGGCGGCTGCTGAGGTCCAGGGGCGGCTGCACCAGGGGCGGCTGCTCCAGTGGCCAGGGGCGGCTGCTCCAGGGGCGGCTGCTCCAGGGGCGGCGCTGGTGCAAGGTAGGCCCGCGCGCGGCTGCAACGCTTGCGCGGGCGCAGGTGAGGCAGAGGCGGTGGCCAGGGGGGAGGGCGCCACGACGAGCAGGGACGGCGCCCAAGGGGTGCCGCTACGAGCAGGGGCGACGCCCCACGGGCGCCGCGACGAGCAGGGGCGGCGTCCAGGGGGCGCCGCGACGAGGAGTGGCGACACCCCGCGGGTCCCGCAGGGGCGTCGCGACGAGCAAGGCGACGCCGTGCGGGTCCTGCAGGGGCGTCGCGACGAGCACGAGCGGCGACGCCCGGGTCCCGCAGGTGCATCGCGACGAGAAAGGACGGCGCTTCGCAGGGCGCCGCGAAGTGGAGGGTACGGGCGGGCAAAACAGGCCCGCGCGTGGACGTGAGGCAGGCGCGCAGGCGGCGTGAGGGCAGGCCACGCGCGGGGCAGGAAGATGCCGTACATAAAAAAGGAAAATGCACCAAACTTTCTTGCAAGTGATTATGGAGAACATTTCTCTGTGAATTCGAATTCACGATATTATTTCCTAACCCCGTTTTTTTCATGTATGATGCGGAGAGAGCCAACGGAATCTACTGTCGAAGCAGCGGATCAAGAGGATTGTCTCTCTCCAATCCAATCCAAACCTCGCGCCTGCCAAATTGTCAAAGAGGAGTATCACAGGAGTCTCGCTATTTACTTCGCCTACTACCTGCTTCACTCGCACACAACTCATTTCCGCTTTCGATGGGGGACGAGCGGACGCGCGCCGCCGACGCGGACGAAGGGGAGGCGCACAGAGACGTAGATGCCGGCACAGAGGCTGCGGACAGCGGGACCGGGGGTTCGCGGAAGCGGAAACAGACGCACGGCGCGCGGAAGAAGGGCGGAGGGGAGAAGGTCCCCGCGCTGGTGAAACAAGGAGGGCGCGCAGCGGTTGTGGTGGGCGGCGGAGCAATGGTGGCGGCCGCTGCGGGGTCCTCGCTGCTAGAATACCAGGTTCTGCCTTTTTCTTGTCTCCAGCGGGCGCACGCCGCCCTTTCCCCGCCCCCTTCCTACGTCATCTCGCACATCCCCCTCGCCTCGTTCGCGCACGGAAATTCGTGTGGTTCGCACGCTCTTTGAAGCGCCGTCTCGAGCCGTCGAAGCGCGTCACCGCTCAGCTCGCGGCACTACGCATTAGCCGCCTCGTCGTCCCCACACCACTTAGATTCTCGCCTCGTCCACCCGAAATAGTCCTCTTTCCAATCCCGATTGCCAGTCGCTTCATCCTTAAACCCCGTGAAAGGCACGCAAAGCGTCGCCTCTCCGAAACGCTTCGACTTGTTTTGCATTAGTTAGATCGTCTCTATACCCAGCTTCCCCCTCCTTAAATCCCGAACCCTGGGTTTAACCCTGTCTTCGGCCTCTCAGGAGTAGTTTACCATTTCGCCTCTCCTTGTGTCATGAAATTTTGTCGCAACAGGCTATCATGCAAGCAGCCGTGGTCGTGCAGAACTGGGCCTCACACTCGCTGCCTCTGCCTGTGTGTCTCTCGCCCAGTGCCGCTGCTGCTGCCGATGCCGCCCCTGCTGCTCCTCCGCCTGCTCCTCCTCCTGGCAGGTGCAAGCCGTGCTGAGGGACGCGCATGTGGACCTCGCAGCTGTGAGGCAGAGAGGGAAGGGCGTGGTGGCGGGTGTGGACGGCGCGGTGGAGAAGCTAAGAGAAACACTTAGAGCCATGCCGGAGGGCGAGCAGGTGAGCGGCGCTGGCTGGAAGCCCGTGTGAGGGATGCGTGCTTGTGGGTGGCCGTGGCTTGTCACGTGGGGAGTGCAGACGGGTGTTGATGGCATGGCACATTAGGAAGGAGTGATTAAACTCAACGAGTGGGTCTTGAAGCAGTGGATAGTGGGTAGGGAGTATGTAAATGTATGGTAAGAGGCAGAAATCTGCAATGTAGAAAGATAGTCTGAGATTAGAGCCATGGCATGGACGGGCAGCATGTGAGGGTCGCGAGTTGTGTAAGAGGTTCGACGGCAGGTGGTAGGGGGGTCGGGGTTTAAAAGGAGCAGGCTAGCACAGCCGTGTGAAGGGTCAGGTGGCAGGGGGGTCGGGGTGCGAGGTTGGGGCAGAGTGTTGGGAGCAGGCAGGTGGAGGGGAGGTTTGAGTTGAGGGTGGTTGGAGCACGGATGGAGAGACGGGAACTGAGCACGGCGATCCTCATGCTCGTGGTGGTGCTGTTGATGGTGATGGTGCTCCCTTCGTGGTCGTGCTCATGCTCATGCTCGTGCTCGTGCTCATGCTCATGCTCGTGCTCATGCTCTTGCTCGTGCTCATGCTCATGCTCATGCTCGTGGTGGTGCTCATGCTCATGCTCATGCTCGTGGTGGTGCTGCTGATGCTGATGGTGCTCCCTTCACCGACCTCCCCTCCCTCATTCCCTTTTCGTCCCTCAATTTCCCTCCCTCACTCCCTTCCACTCCCTCACTACCTTCCCTGCCTTCTCCCCCCTTCTCCTCCGCGTAATCCGTTTCTCCCCTCCCCCGCACCGTTCCACACCGCTCTGCATCGCTGCAGGTGGCAGCGGGCGCGGCTCTGCCATACGTGGAGGCAGTGATGGGGGCGGAGGGGCCTGTAACGCGAGCTAGAGTGCATTCCTACAGCTATTTGTGTCTCTTGCCCACCCCCCCAACCACCCCCCCTCCTCCCCCACCCCTTCCCCTTTCCCACACTGCCCCACATCACTGCAGGTCACAGCAGGCGCGGCTCTGCCGTACGTGGAGGCGCTGGTGGGCGCGGAAGGCCCCCAGAGGCGTGTCAGAAACCCTGCACCCGCCCATTTCTCCCCACACCTTTCCCCACACCGCCCCAAACCGCCCCATATCACTGCAGGTGACATTAGATTCGGCTCTGCTGCCGTACGTGGAGGCGCTGGTGGGGGGGGGAGGGCTTGAGAGCCCTGTGAGGAGTCCCACACCCCCCTGCACCGTTCCACACTGCCCCACATCGCTACAGGTGGCAGTGGGGTGCTGGTGGGGGCGGAGGGCGTGAGGGTCCTGCGATGCATGCTAGAGCGCCTGCAACCATCCGTTTCCCCCTCCTCCACCGCCCAACACCGGCCCCCACATTCCTCTCTTTGTCAGCTGCAGGTGGCAGCAGGCACCAAACCACACCGCACCGCACCGCTCTGCCGTACGTGGAGGCGCTGGTGGGGGCGGAGGGCTTGAGGGCCCTGTGAGGAGTGCTACCTTTCCTCCCCCACACCATCCCACACCTCTCCACCCCGCACCACCACACCGCACTGCAGGTGACAGCGGACGCGGCTCTGCCGTACGTGGAGGCGCTAGTGGGGGCGGAGGGCGTGAGGAGCCTCGCCTTCACCTTCCACCGCCCGTCGCACGTGCACGTTGTCGGCAGCTTCGCCCACTGCACCGCTCATGCTCATTCACACCCTGCATCGCACACACATGCTGGTGGTGCTGGTGGTGCTGGTGGTGATGGGGGAGAGAGCGGGGAGGGCGGGGCAGCGGGTGTGGGGAGTGTGACAAGGCCGTGTACGCATGTGGACGTGGCTGTGGAGATGCCTCAGGTGCGGTGGTGTGCGGTCTGGTGCGGTTCTTTTTGGTTTTTTTTTTTTTTTTTTTCCTGTTTTGTTGTTTCCAAAGTGAAACCCTATGCCAGAGGATTATGAGTACAAGCAAATACATTGCATTCATAACTGAGGTGCGGTGCTGTAGGTTCCAATTCAATATCTTAAACCTACTCACACCTCTTTCAACCGCACTCAAGTGGCACACTGTAACCACACCAAACACACGCTCTTGCTATTAAAAGCCGTCTGGAGTCTGGGCCAGCACTCTCCACTCTGCTGCACGCGCTGTGCTGCATCCGCTCGCACTCACCTCTTCCTCGCCCCATCCGCCCCCCCTCCCTGTAGGCGTGGTTCCAAGGAAAGGGCGGGTTGAACCACGCATGCACTTGGCTGCATGCTCTCACACTCTCCTCCTTGCTCGCCCCATCCGTTCCTCCTCTGTGCGCCAGGCGTGCTTCAGAGAATGGATGTGTGGAAGCAGCGCTACTCGGCCCGTCATATCACGCAGGCGTGGCCAGCACAGCACTGTGCTGCTGCCATCGTCACCCCATCTCCCCGTCTCCCTCCCTCTCCTTCCCTGCCACGTGCTTTTGGGAAAAGGACATGTTGAACCACCACTGCCTTGCCTGTTATGTCACATGCACAGTTGCACTATGCTGCATCCTCCCACACACTCTACCATCCGCTCGCCCCACTCTTGTCTGCAGGCGTGCTTCCGGGAAAAGGACATCTTGAACCACCGCTACTTCGCCAGGCGGGCGCTGTACCTCGCCACGCTGGCACGCCACCTGGTGCAATGCAATTGGGTGGTAGCAGTGGAGTGGAGCACTCTGAGGGATGACGTGTGCAAACCCATCCTCCTTATCATCCCCCGTGAGTAATCGCATTGTCATCCCTTGCCATGGCGTACCGTGGCGTGCTCTGTTGTCCCTATGCGGTCCCTCTTCCAACCCTCTACTCATCTTCCCCATCCCCCAATCACCCTCCCCTCATCCCCTTCCCAAACACCTTCCCCCCCTCTCCTTCCCTTCCCCCTCACAGGGGCGTGCAAGAGCTGGCCGCTGCGTCTGCTGCCGTGCCTGTCGCCCGCCACCTTCCCCGCCCGCAAGCTCGCCCCCTCACGCAACAACGTGCGCCAAGCTGCTTCTGCTGGTTGGTCTGCGAAGCCAGGTCCGCACTGCAGGTGGGTCTGCGAAGCCAGGTCCGCACTGCAGGTGGGTCTGCCAAGCCAGGTCTGCACTGCAGGTGGGTCTGCCAAGCCACGTCCGCACTGCAGGTGGGTGTGCCAAGCCACGTCCGCACTACAGGTGGGTCTGCCAAGCCACGTCCGCACTGCAGGTGGGTGTGCCAAGCCACGTCCGCACTGCAGGTGGGTCTGCCAAGCCACGTCTGCACTGCATGTGGGCTCGTGGTCCCCCCCAGTCCGGCCTTCCTCCCTGCCGCATGCTCACGTGTTCACGTGTGGGCTTGCTAAGCCGCGTCTGCAGGTGGGTGGGTGCACCAGATAGCGGCGGCGAAACGAAGAGTAGAGAGTAAGACGGCTAGGGACAGGCGCTGTAGGCTCGGGCCACCCCTCTCGTTCCCAAGGTGCTACTTGCATGTCATCGTTTCTTGCATGCTCATGCATGTGCGCACAAAGGCACAACCCTATACACCTTACTTCCCATGTGTCGCTTCCCTCCCCGCCCGCCCACACATGACACAACACGAGGAGACCTCCTAGCAACCCCGCACGCAGTGCAAGATGGGGGATACCAGGGGCGGGGGAGGGGCTTCCATGCTGCCGGGGGCGGGGGAGGGGCTTCCATGCTGCCGGGGGCGGGGGAGGGGCTTCCATGCTGCCGGGGGCGGGGCAGGGGCTTCCATGCTGCCGGGGGCGGGGCAGGGGCTTCCATGCTGCCGGGGGCGGGGCAGGGGCTTCCATGCTGCCGGGGGCGGGGGAGGGGCTTCCATGCTGCCGGGGGCGGGGGAGGGGCTTCCATGCTGCCGGGGGCGGGGGAGGGGCTTCCATGCTGCCGGGGGCGGGGGAGGGGCTTCCATGCTGCCGGGGGCGGGGGAGGGGCTTCCATGCTGCCGGGGGCGGGGGAGGGGCTTCCATGCTGCCGGGGGCGGGGGCAGGGGCTTCCATGCTGCCGGGGGCGGGGCAGGGGCTTCCATGCTGCCGGGGGCGGGGCAGGGGCTTCCATGCTGCCGGGGGCGGGGGAGGGGCTTCCATGCTGCCGGGGGCGGGGGAGGGGCTTCCATGCTGCCGGGGGCGGGGGAGGGGCTTCCATGCTGCCGGGGGCGGGGGAGGGGCTTCCATGCTGCCGGGGGCGGGGGAGGGGCTTCCATGCTGCCGGGGGCGGGGGAGGGGCTTCCATGCTGCCGGGGGCGGGGCAGGGGCTTCCATGCTGCCGGGGGCGGGGCAGGGGCTTCCATGCTGCCGGGGGCGGGGCAGGGGCTTCCATGCTGCCGGGGGCGGGGCAGGGGCTTCCATGCTGCCGGGGGCGGGGCAGGGGCTTCCATGCTGCCGGGGGCGGGGCAGGGGCTTCCATGCTGCCGGGGGCGGGGCAGGGGCTTCCATGCTGCCGGGGGCGGGGCAGGGGCTTCCATGCTGCCGGGGGCGGGGCAGGGGCTTCCATGCTGCCGGGGGCGGGCAGGGGCTTCCATGCTGCCGGGGGCGGGGCAGGGGCTTCCATGCTGCCGGGGGCGGGGCAGGGGCTTCCATGCTGCCGGGGGCGGGGCAGGGGCTTCCATGCTGCCGGGGGCGGGGCAGGGGCTTCCATGCTGCCGGGGGCGGGGCAGGGGCTTCCATGCTGCCGGGGGCGGGGCAGGGGCTTCCATGCTGCCGGGGGCGGGGCAGGGGCTTCCATGCTGCCGGGGGCGGGGCAGGGGCTTCCATGCTGCCGGGGGCGGGGCAGGGGCTTCCATGCTGCCGGGGGCGGGGCAGGGGCTTCCATGCTGCCGGGGGCGGGGCAGGGGCTTCCATGCTGCCGGGGGCGGGGCAGGGGCTTCCATGCTGCCGGGGGCGGGGCAGGGGCTTCCATGCTGCCGGGGGCGGGGCAGGGGCTTCCATGCTGCCGGGGGCGGGGCAGGGGCTTCCATGCTGCCGGGGGCGGGGGCAGGGGCTTCCATGCTGCCGGGGGCGGGGCAGGGGCTTCCATGCTGCCGGGGGCGGGGCAGGGGCTTCCATGCTGCCGGGGGCGGGGCAGGGGCTTCCATGCTGCCGGGGGCGGGGCAGGGGCTTCCATGCTGCCGGGGGCGGGGCAGGGGCTTCCATGCTGCCGGGGGCGGGGCAGGGGCTTCCATGCTGCCGGGGGCGGGGCAGGGGCTTCCATGCTGGCGCCGGGGGGGCGGGGCAGGGGCTTCCATGCTGCCGGGGGCGGGGCAGGGGCTTCCATGCTGCCGGGGGCGGGGCAGGGGCTTCCATGCTGCCGGGGGCGGGGCAGGGGCTTCCATGCTGCCGGGGGCGGGGCAGGGGCTTCCATGCTGCCGGGGGCGGGGCAGGGGCTTCCATGCTGCCGGGGGCGGGGCAGGGGCTTCCATGCTGCCGGGGGCGGGGCAGGGGCTTCCATGCTGCCGGGGGCGGGGCAGGGGCTTCCATGCTGCCGGGGGCGGGGCAGGGGCTTCCATGCTGCCGGGGGCGGGGCAGGGGCTTCCATGCTGCCGGGGGCGGGGGAGGGGCTTCCATGCTGCCGGGGGCGGGGGAGGGGCTTCCATGCTGCCGGGGGCGGGGGAGGGGCTTCCATGCTGCCGGGGGCGGGGGAGGGGCTTCCATGCTGCCGAGGGGCGGGGGAGGGGCTTCCATACGCCATTGCTGCCACTTTTTCCCAACCAAGTACCATGCGCTCTTCCCATCCCATCCCACACATGGCATGACAGGAGGCGAGCTGATGGCAACACCACGCTACAACATGGGTGTGCTGGAGGATGGCACTCACACGGCCACCCATCACCTCGTCTCACATGCCATCAACCTCGTGCCCGCCCTGCCCCATGCTCTCGTGCTGCTCAAGGTGACTGGCTGAACCTTAAGTGAATCGTCTTTGTAGAATTGCTCGCACCCCCTCGTGGGGGACGCTCATGCAGTGCACATGCCATGAGGCTGTTGCGCATACCCCTCTCCTGCGCTCACATCGTACGGCCGCCCATCACCTCGTCTCGCATGCCACAGAGCTTGTGCCTGCCCTGCCCCATTCGCTCGTGCTGCTCAAGGTGATGTGATGTGACTGTAAGGAGGTAAAACTGTAGAAACGATGCCTTGCCTTTGATAACCTCGCGCGCGAGTTCTGGTCATTTCATGGCTTCGTTCGCCAATGTGCTGTGCATGCCATGCCATCAGTGCAGCAGGCACAGCGGATACAATGCTCCATGCATGTGTGGTAGTGATATGATGTCCTGCACTGCAGCATTGAACATGCCATCCATTCACCACAAAATATCATATCATCGTTGATAGAGCCTCCCAGGGCCTCCCTTTTCTACCATAACAGCGTTTCTCCCCTCCACATCCCCTCCATCCCCCTGTCACCTATCACCCGGCAGGTCTGGGCTCGCCAGCGGTACGGCACCAAGCGCCACATGGCACCTGCTGATTGGCTGAACGGTTTCCAGCTGTCTCTGCTGGCAGCACACCTGGCGTCGCCCCACAACCCCCACCGCCGCATCATGCCTGCCATGTCAGCATTCCAGATCTTCCGATGTGTCATTGATGCCATGGTTATGTGTGGGGCATGATGCTATGGGCAAATGCATTGATCACATGTTTTGTGCTTTTACCGTGCTCATGTGCTCATCTCACTTTTTACCACACCCCACCCACCACGCTACCCATCTTTACCAATCAGCACCAACCAGCACCGCTCTCTTCCAGAAACCAGCAGCCTCCGCTTCCTTCATCCGTACAAACCTTTCAGCCAATCCTCCATCCATTCCTCCATCCATGCCTCCATCCATGCCTCCATCCATGCCTCCATCCATGCCTCCATCCATGCCTCCATCCATGCCTCCATCCATGCCTCCATCCAATCCTTCATCCATTCCTCCATCCATGCCTCCATCCATGCCTCCATCCATGCCTCCATCAATGCCTCCATCCATGCCTCCATCCATGCCTCCATCCATGCCTCCATCCATGCCTCCATCCATGCCTCCATCCATGCCTCCATCCATGCCTCCATCCATGCCTCCATCCATGCCTCCATCCATGCCTCCATCCATGCCTCCATCCATGCCTCCATCCATGCCTCCATCCATGCCTCCATCCATGCCTCCATCCATGCCTCCATCCATGCCTCCATCCATGCCTCCATCCATGCCTCTATCCATGCATCCATCCTCTTGTTCTCTGCTCCCTCCTCGCCTCGTCACGTATGTCTGCCTTGTTAGAATCTAGCAGCACGAATGAATGAACTACGAAAGAGTTGGGTACAAATATGAAACCCTAAAGTTGGCTGTGCCCCATATTGTCTACCCCACTACAGCCTAAACATATATAGCATATATATACTTTAACACACCCCCATAGGCAAAGTGGGGGAGAGCAAGGGGTCACAAGACCAGTCAAGAGAAGCAAAGCAAACTCAGGATGGATCACAACGTCACCATACATACTCAACACAAGCAAAGTGTGAGAGTACGACGGCTTATGCCAGCTATGCTTGCTTGCCTTTACTTTATCATGCTATTTCTAGCATAGGATAATCATATGCATGCATGAATTGCTTGATTTCCTAGGCTAGGTGCTTTCCTATATTTTATTATAGTTATAGCACCGAGCTAGGTTGCGTGCACCGAATTCTGGCCTTTTCGGTTGCCACCAAATTGCCTTCTACCGAATTCGGTAAGGATCTGTTCGGGACGCTACGCGGCCCGCGGAACCTTCGCGTAACACCTGGTTACAAGGCCTTGTGTCGAGCCTATATATAGCCTCGTGTTGTACCCATGTGATCATTCAATTCGACTCAATTCTCATTAGAGCTCGATCCTAGATCCTCACACTCAGTATCAGAGCGGGTTTACACGTGAGGTCTTCAACCGCTTAGTTCCGGCCTTTAAAAAACCGCAGGGGCGACGACGAAAGCGCCGATACGGGTATGAAAAACCAGTTCCGCGCAATTTTTCTAAGTCCTCCTCGATTCGGTTTTCGAGCACCCCCGAAGTAAAAAAACGGGAATCGCCAGTAGCCGCAGATCGACCTGGCGATCGCGTAAAGATCCGAAAAGCAGGAAAAGGCGACGACGTGGCGACTTCGGAGCGGGTGAAAAAAGAGGAAAATGATGGCGCAAATCTAAAACGTGACGACCGGCCGGCATCAGGGGAAATCGCCGAGGCAAATGGAGGCTCCGCGAAAAAAGACTCTGCACCGACCGGGAAACTCCCGCCGAACACCCACGAAAGTAAGAATTCGTTAAAAGTATCCTATAAAGATGCTCTAACGAAGAATATTGCTTCTCGTGGTTTTCAAGCCTTTAAAAAATCCAGGAGAGGTTTAGAGGCCAAGAAAAAGCCTTTAGAAATTATTCAGGTACCTGAGATGTTGGGCAAAGTACTACGGAGCGTAGAAAAGGGTCGTGCGTTCCGTGGAGTTAATATTCTCTCCCCGCAGCACAATGTTAAGGCTCCCCGTTGCCCACAGGTGAAGCCTACACAGCTGCCAAGGCTTAGAGGAGACATCCAGGCCCAGGAGAAATTATACAAGCCTCGAAAAAATCCTCCTACCCCCCAGGTGAAGTTGGAAAGCGCTGAGTCAGGTATAGGAAAAAGGGAAAGTATTAAGTTTGATGTACCCTATGATCCTATTAACAAGACCCTCTTTGGCTACTCAGCGCAGCAGAAACCACTACTCCTCGAGGTGTTATGCAATGGGCGACGCCTCCAGGCACTGGTGGACAGGGGTGCATCTCACTCGGTGTGTGACTGCGGAACGTTGGAAAAAATTAGAGAATCCTCAGAACAAACCCAGTTTACAGCAACGATGGTGGACGGTACGTACCTTCCCATCCACGGCAAGTCAACACTACAGCTGCAGATAGGGGCGTTGAGGTGGAAGCCAACGTTGCCGATCACGAACATCAAGGGATTAGATTTCATCTTGGGGCGAGATTTTCTGAAGCGGCTCAACCCCGAGATCGACTGGGTCAACCGGAAAACGTGCATCTACAACAACGGGAAACGAGTGGAGCTGCGAAGCTGGACGGATACAGGGAGCGTTCCTGAAACGACACTGGCACGGTTCGAACGGGCAGTGAACGAGAGTAACACAGGTTACTTAGCACTAGTTATGGCAGCAGCAGAGGAGGAGGTCTTGGAGCAGTACAAGGATATAATGCCCGACGACCTACCTACAGACGTACCTCCAGCACGCACCCACGAGCACGAGATCGTGGAGGAACCAGGTGCGAAACCCGTATCACGTGCACCATACCGACTGAGTCCGACCGAGATGATAGACATAAAGAAACAGATAGAGTATCTACTGGACAGACAACTGATCCGCCCATCCACCTCTCCCTACGGTGCAACAGTCCTCTTCACTCCAAAACCAGACGGCAGTTTACGGATGTGCATCGACTACCGCGCACTGAACAAACAGACAGTAAAAAACAAATACCCCATACTGCGCATAGACGACCTACTCGATCAACTGCGTGGTGCAACAGTCTTCTCGAAGCTGGACCTAAGATCGGGTTACTGGCAGATCAAGATGGCCGACAACTCGATCCACAAGACGGCGTTCCGTACCAGATACGGCTCCTACGAATACTTGGTGATGCCGTTCGGACTCTACAACGCACCAACAACGTTTCAGGCAGAGATGAATCACATCTTACGACCCCTGCTAGACGAGTGCGTGGTGGTGTGCCTGGACGACATTCTCATCTACTCCAAGAAAATGAAGAGGAAGGAAGAGCATCTACGGAAGGTGTTCGAGATCCTGCGGAAAAACAATTTCTACGTGAAGCTATCAAAGAGCGACTTCGCCCTAAAGAAGGTGCAGTTTCTCAGGCACATGGTGAGTGCCGAAGGCGTACATGTGGACCCGCGGAAGATCGAAGCCGTCAAGAAGTGGAAAGTACCGGAGAACGTGAAGGAGTTGCAGCAGTTCCTAGGCTTCGCCAACTACTATGACATGTTCGTGCCCCAGTACGCTAAGATAGCAGCGCCACTGACCGACCTACTGAAAAAGGACACACCCTACAAGTGGGATACTCCTCATCAGCAAGCCATGGAGCAGCTACACACAGCACTGACTACAACGCCAGTACTCATCCTACCGGATCCAGACAAGGACTACGTGGTGGAAGCAGACGCTAGTGACCAAGCAGTCGGAGCACTACTAATGCAGGATCACGGACGCGGGTTGCAGCCCATCGCCTACCTCAGTAAGAAGCTACACGGAGAAGAACTGAACTACCCCATCCATGACAAGGAAGTCTTAGCGATAGTCATAGCCTTCAAGGCGTGGAGGTGTTACCTAGAGGGAGCCAAGACTATAGTCTATACTGACCACTGCATTCTCAAATACCTGAAGTCGCAGCCGACGCTCTCACGACGACAGGTGCGGTGGGTGGACTTCCTGGAAACTCACTTCCACTACGACATCGTCTACAAGCCCGTGCTACACAACAAAGCAGACGCATTGAGCCGCCCCGGACATGTAGCAGGCATCCAGCTTGACGGGATGAACCCTCTGCTCAAGGGTCAATTCCAACATGGGTACTCCGTGGACGCATAAATCACTACAGCACAGAACCAGAAGCTGTTACAGTGGGAGAAAGACCTAGCGGTAAGGAAGGGTTCAGGAAAGATTTGGGTACCGCAGAGTGATGTGCTTCGTTCTGTGCTCCTCACACAAGGCAATGGCGGCCTTGTTGTCGACGTACAGCACTGGAGGAGAACGAGGCCGCTCTCCCAAGTCGGTCAGCAGGTAGGTGAGCCAGCGTAACTCTTGTGCAGCCATGGCTGTGGTGTAGATCTCAGCCTCACAACTGGAGCTGAGAACAGAAGACGAGCGTGTAGAACGCAAAGAATCTGGACCAGAGCCAAGGCTGAAGGTGTAACCCTGTGACGACCGCTGCGTAGCCTGGTCGTCAACCCAAGAAGCGTCTGAGTGCCCAGTGAGGACAACTGTGTTGCGCCCTCCAAGCACGAGCCCCATGCCCGATGTACCGCACAAGTAGCACAGTACCCTCTTCGCAGCATCCATGTGCACCTTTCGGTGCCGACCAGGAGCCACGTAGCGAGCCAGAAGGCCAAGAGGGTACGCAAGGTCAGGTCGAGTTCAGATCATCAGGTACATGAGGCAGCCCACTAGCTTCGGGTACGGGCCACTCAGCTCTACGAACTCGTCCGAAGGTGGAGCTGAGAGCGAGTGGCCTGTAGCCAGAGGAGTGTGTTGTGGCGAGGACCAGGTGAAGCCTAAGCGCTGAAGGACCTGCTGCACCATGTGTGACTGAGTCAGTGTGATGGTGCGGCGTGCTCTGTCCCGGGTGATCTGCAAGCCAAGGTAGCTGCGTAGTTCACCCAAGTCTGTGCACGTGTGTCTCTTCTGCTGCTCCGACTTCACCAGGGCGAGAGCCTCAGTGTCAGTAGTGGCAAAGACCAAGTCGTCGACGTACACGAGGATGTAGAACGGCGGCAGCGATGTGTCGGTGCGTAGAAACACGACGGGTCAGCAGTCGACGGAGCAAACCCAAGAGCCTCAAGTGTAGTCCTCAGTCTGTTGTGCCACTCACGTGGTGCCTGGCGGAGACCGTAGACTGGTCGCCGGAGGCTCCACTAGGTACCAGGAGGGAAAGACCTAGTGAAGCCAGGAGGGCGGCGCAACCAGATCTCCTCGTGCAGGCTGCCCTGTAAGAAAGCTTTGCTGAAGTCAAGAGAGTGAAGCTCGTAGTCACGCATTCCGCCTTCCCCACGCCCCCCGGGCGCTCGTTCCTCAGCGCGCTTGTATGGGGGAGTGGCGGAGGTCGGGCGGCGGGATCAGGGGGAGGCGCAACTGCGCGCATTGGAGGGTTCTCTGATTCGTTCCGCATAACGCCTTCCCACTTCTCCTATTCCCGCATGCCCTCCCCCGCCACTCCCCCCTCGCTCTCCTCCTCCTCCGCCTCCTGCTACTCTCTCCTCACCATTCTCCCATGCACGTGCCTGTGTCTAGGCTTCGTTATAGCGGCATTCCTCCTGTTAGGGTCACGCCTAGTCGTGGTACATCAGCCGCACACGTGGCAGCACCCCCAATACGCACCAATCGGAGCTGGACACGTGGAGGCGGGGAGGCTGGTGGGGGGGAGGGATGGATTGGCGGAAGTTCCGCCATCGATGCTGCTGGTTGCGGGAAGAGGGATGGAAGCGGGGTTTCGCGGGAAGGGCGCACGAAGAAGGGACGGGGAACAGGGGGGTGTGGCGGAGCAGGGTAGCGGAAGATGGGGGAAAGGGGGCATTGAGGCAAGGCTTGGGGAGTGGGGCGGAGGGGAGGGGGAAGGTGAGCGAGGGGAGATGCAGGGAGTGGGTGGGGTAGGGGCGGGAACGGGGAGTGGGGCGAGGCGATGGGGGGAGATGGAGAGCCGAAGCAGAAGGGGAGGCGTGAAGGTGAAGGGGAATCGGGGCCGGAGGGGATCGAGACGGTAAGAGGCGGTGGAGGATGAAGAGGAGGAAGAGGAGGAGGAGACGGAGGATAAGGAGGGAATTTCAGGGGAGGAAGAGGAGGAGAGCGAGAGAGGAAAAGTGAGGAGGAAGGGTGAGGAGGGGAGTGTGTGGAATGAGATTATGAGCAAACTGGAAGAGGGGAAGGGCAAGGGTGGCCGGGGAAGGGAGAAACGAGTCAGGCGAAAACGCAGAGGAGCGGACAGAGGTGGTTTGAGTGGCATGGGTAAGGTGGGTGGGACAAGAGAAGCAGGTTTGGATAATATCACGGAGGAGATAGGAATGGGGCGTGGCGGTGGGGAGGATTTGGGAGTGAGGGATGGGGGAGAGGGAAGTGGGGGGGCTGGGGGTGGCGATGGGCTGGGCGAAGGAACAGGAGCAGCTGATGGGGAAGCCACAGCTGATAGTGTAGAGAGCGGTGCTGCAGGCAGAGGGAGCGGTGAAAATGGGTTGAAAGGCAGCAAGGGTGGTTTAAAAGGTGGTGAGGGTGGGGTAGAAAGGGGGGAGAGGTCCGGTGCAGGGGGCGAGGAGCAGCACAAGATAGACGAGCTGCTGAAAGGCCTGGAGCAGCATCTGGGGGGCGCTGGGCGCAGGGGAGGCGGCGAGGGCGGGGAGGGTGGGGAGGGTGGGGAGCGGGTGGGTGGCAGTGATGTGAATGCGGGCGATGGGGGCCAGGCAGAGGAGGCGGAGCAGGGAGAAAGAAGCGAGGGGGCGGGTGGCGGAGCAGCGCAGGGGTCTGATGGGGAGGCGGACAGGGAGCAGAGCAAGGGCGGCACGCAGGAGAGTAGCAGCAGCAGCGATGGCGGCGGTGGGAGAAGCAGCAGCAGTGATGGTGGAGAGGGTGGTGTTGATGGTGGAGAGGGTGGTGTTGATGGTGGAGAGGGTGGTGTTGATGGTGGAGAAGGTGGTGTTGATGGTGTGAGTGGCATGAGGGCAGCTGGGCTGGACGGTGCAGTGGATGCTGGTGGGGACGGGCGGAGAAGTGAGAGCGGTGCTGCTGACAGTGAGGGGCTGGAGGGTGCGGGGCTGGGGAAGGTAGGGGCGGGAGGAGTGGGAGCAAGAGGAGCAGAAGGGTCAAGTGGGGAAGAGGTTAATGAGGGGACTGGACAAGGGAGCAAGGATGACTCTGAAGAGGAGGAAGGGAAGGAGGGAGGTGCGGAAGGCAGTGTGGGTGGATCTGGTGGTGGTGAGGGTGGCGCTTCATCAGGGGATTCTACTGGGAATGATGCTGGTGAGAGTGATAATAGTGATGGTGGAAAAACTGCTGCTGATAGCAGTCCGAGCGACACCAGGTTGAGTGTGAAACGTGAACGGCCGGAAGTAGGTGGTGGTGCAGGTGAAAGCATGAGAAGCGTGGTGGAGTCAGCAGGCAGTGAGGGGGGGAAGGTGGTGGGTGGCGAGGTTCCAAGCAGGGGCGGCAGTGAGAGTGGGCCTGATGAGCTGGGAGGAGAGGATGGGGAGGGAACGGAGGGGAAAGCGGACACTAGTGGTGATGCCGTGCAAGTTGGTGATGTGCAGGTGGTTGAACAGGGTGGGGTGATGGATGGGAATGGGGATGGTGCGAGGAGTGACAGAGAGTGCACTGGCAGAGGGGCAGGCAGTGGAGTGAGTGAAGAGTCAGTCAGCAAAACAGGCAGCATGCTGGTAATGGTGATTCGGCCACTGATGCTCTAGCGGATGCAGAGGTAGAGGAAGCAGAGGCAGTAGCGGCCCTTGAGACGGAGGTTGAGGATGAAAGAAACCTCTCATGAGCTCCCCACACAGTACCCATGCTTGATTTATAAAGTATGTTGTGCGACCGTCGTGTGAGAGCTGATGCACTACCATCAATGAGGACCATACGGTACCTTCGCTTGAATATTACTTTCATAAGCGGTAATACTGTACCTTCTGTTTTCAGGCATCATGCATTATTTCAAGATTTTAATATACTGTATCGATAATCAGAGTTAGTGTTTTTATCTACCTCTCGCTGCAAAGGGAAACACACTAATTAGATGCTGTATACAAATGATTATTGAGAGCATTTCTTTGTGAATTCTACATTTCTTGATTTCCATAAGCCCTATTTCTGAATGGAAGATGCGAGAGTGGACGGTGTCTACTATCGAAGCAGCGAATAAGCACAAGCAGGAAATTGTCTCTACAAACCAAACCTCGCGTCTAGCAAGTTGCCAAAAGAGTGGGGCTTTAATCTGAAATCTTGAGTCGTCTTTCCGCCAGTGGAAGCGGCCGAGTGGGTTATAGCTGCAGGCGAGACTTTCACAGGCTTCTTGCTTTACTTCGCTACTACACTACGTGCTCGATTCGCGGACAACTCAATTCTGCTCGCGATGGAGGACGAGCGGACGCGCGACGGCGACGCGGAGGAAGGGGAGGCGCACGTAGACGTAGATGCGGGCGCAGGGGCTGCGGGTAGCGGGGCTGGGGGTTCGCGGAAGCGGAAACAGGCGCAAGGCGCGCGGAAGAAGGGCGGAGGGGAGAAGGTTCCCGCGCTGGTGAAGCGGGGTGGGCGCGCAGCGGTTGTGGTGGGTGGCGGAGCAATGGCGGCGGCCGCGGCGGGTTCCTCGCTGCTAGAGTACCAGGTGCCGCCCGTTTTCCCACCTCCAGCGGGCGGACGCCGCCTTTTCCCCCGCCCTCTCCCATAGTATCTCCCACCTATTGCTCGCGCGCGTCTGCCGATCCCGCGCCCGACATGTCAAAGATGAGAGGCCCCGGTTCCTCTCCTATAGCTTGTAGCGTGCCCCACTTTCAGCAGCCAGCCCTCGAAATGGCGCGCTCCAGCAGTTGATGCTTTTCCCCGCTCAGCCTGCGACGATGCGCATTCGCCACTCCGTCGTCCTCTTTAAAGTCGAATTAAGTTCTGCATTCGCCACCCCGTCCTCTCCACCCCTCGTGAATCGTCGCCTCGTCAACGGTCGCCCACTCAACCGCCACTAGTCGCCTACCGAACCCGAAATAGTCCCTGAATATCAATCGCGGCCCTTGCAGCCCCCATTAAACATCAAAACCACGCAAGCCCTTGCCTCGCTGAATTGCTTCGACTGTCCTCAACCAGCTCGATTGTCGATAAACCCTAGTCTCCCCTCCTTCCCCCTCCTAAAACCCTGAACCATGGTTAAACCCTGACAAGGACACCTTGACTGCTTCGACTCGCTTTGTACAGTAAAATCTTGGCAAAACAGTCTGCCGTTCAGGCAGGTGTGGTGTTGCTGAACTGGACCTCACACGCGCAGTCTCTGTGTGTGTGCCACTTGCCCATTACTGCTGCTGCTGCCCCTCCTCCTCCCGTTCCTCCTCCTGGCAGGTACAAGCGGTGCTGAGGGACGCGCATGTGGGCCGCGCAGCTGCCAGGCAGAGAGGAAAGGGCGATGGAACACCAGTTAGGTGCCATTGCCTCGTTATGTGCCTGCACAACTCTGTTAACACCTGGAACCCTGGTGCCCCTACCCCCCCTTCTCCTCCTGCCCCTCCTCCTGGCAGGTGCAAGCGGTGCTGAAGGACGCCCACGTGGACCTCGCAGCAGCAAGGCAGAGAGGGAAGGGCGTGGTGGCGGCTGTGGATGGCGCGGTGGAGAAACTAAGAGAAACACTAAGAGCCATGCCGGAGGGAGAGCAGGTGAGCGCGATTGTGGCTGGAAGCCCGTGTGAGTGATGCGTTCTTGTGGGTGGTCGTGCCTTGTCGCGTGGGGAGTGAAGACGGCTGTTGATGGCGTATAAGGTAGGAGTGATCAAACGCAACGGCTGGTGCTCGAAGCAGTGGATAGTGGGCAGGGAGTAGGGATTTTGCAATTTATCGTAAGAAAGATAGTGTGAAATTAGAGCCATGGCCGGGGGCAGCACGTCAGGGTCACGAGTTCTGTAAGAGGTTCGGTGGCAGGTGGCAGGTGGCAGGTGGCAGGTGGCAGGTGGCAGGGGGGGTCGGGGTTTAAAGGAGTGGGTTAGCACAGCCGTGTGAGGGGTCAGGCGGCAGGGGGGTCGGGGTACAGGGTTGGGGCCGAGTGTTGGGGGCAGGCAGGAGGCGGGGGGGGAGGTTTGAGGGTGGTTGGAGCAGGGATGGAGAGATGGGAACTGAAGCACGGTGATGCTCATGCTCATGCTCATGCTCATGCTCATGCTCGTGGTGGTGCTGCTGATGGTGATGGTGCTCCCTTCATCCACCTCCCCTCCCTCATTCCCTTTTCGTCCCTCACTTCCCCTCCCTCATTCCCTTTTCGTCCCTCACTTCCCCTCCCTGATTCCCTTTTCGTCCCTCACTTCCCCTCCCTCATTCCCTTTTCGTCCCTCACTTCCCCTCCCTCACTCCCTTCCGCTCCCTCACTACCTTCCCTGCCTTCTCCCCCCTTCTCCTCCCTGTATTCCGTTTCTCCCCGCCCCCACACCGTCCCACACTTACCTGCACCGTTCCACACCGCTCTGCATCGCTGCAGGTGGCAGCAGGCGCAGCTCTGCCATACGTGGATGCGCTGGTGGGGGCGGAGGGGCCTGTGACGCGAGCTAGAGTGCATTCCTGCAGCTATTTGTGTCTCTTGCCCATCCCCCAACCACCCCCCATCCTCCCCCACCCCTTCCCCTTCCCCACACCGCCTCGCATCACTGCAGCTGGCAGCAGATGCGGCTCTGCCGTACGTGGAGGCGCTGGTGGGAGCGGAGGGCCCAGAAGCGTGCTAGAGCCCTTGCTTGCACCCACCTCTTTCTCCTCCACACCCTCCCACACCGCCCCAAACCGCCCCCCATCACTGCAGGTGACAGCAGACGCGGCTCTGCCATACGTGGAGGCGCTGGTGGGGGCGGAGGGCGTGAGGAGCCTCGCCTTCACCTTCCACCGCCCCTCGCACGTCCATGCCATCGGCAGCTTCGCCCACCACTCCGCCTCCCACCCTGCATCGCATGCGCATGGGGGTGGTGATGGGGGTGATGGGGGTGATGGGGGAGAGGGCGGAAAGGGCGGAGAGGGCGGAGAGGGCGGAGAGGGCGGAAAGGGCGGGGCAGCAGGTGTGGGGAGTGTGACGAGGCCGTGCACGCATGTGGACGTGGCTGTCGAGATGCCTCAGGTGCGGTGCTGTGAGATCTTGTGCAGTTCAGATGGAATTCTAGGTGACATACGCGTTTGGTGTGCCGCGCACTACTTTCCCCGTCATGTCACATGCACGCATGCACTCCTCAGTCATCGTCACTTCATCCCATCCCCCCTTCTGCAGGTGTGCTTTTAATAAAATTACGTGGCAAACCACCGCTACTTCGCCCGCTGTGTTGTGTGCACACATGACCAGCACCATGCTGCACACATGACCAGTACCATGCTGCATCCTCCCACACCACTCACTCCTCCCACACCTCTCACTCCTCCCACACCACTCACTCCTCCCACACCACTCACTCCTCCCACACCACTCACTCCTCCCACACCACTCACTCCTCCCAATCTCCCATCCGCCCGCACGCCCGCCCACCGCTTGGCTGCAGGCGTGCTTCCGGGAAAAGGACGTGTTGAACCACCGCTACTTCGCCCGCCGGGCGCTGTATCTCGCCACGCTGGCACGCCACCTGGCGGCGTGTGATTGGGTGGCGGCGGTGGAGTGGAGCACTCTGAGGGATGACGTGTGCAAACCCATCCTCCTTATCATCCCCCGTGAGCAACCGCATTTTCATCCCTTGCCATGGCGTGCCGTGGTGTGCTCTGTTGTCCCTCTGCGGTCCCTCTTCCAACCCTCTACTCATCTTCCCCATCCCCCAATCACCCTCCCCTCATCCCCTTCCCAAACACCTTCCCCCCCTCTCCTTCCCTTCCCCCTCACAGGGGCGTGCAAGAGCTGGCCGCTGCGTCTGCTGCCGTGCCTGTCGCCCGCCACCTTCCCTGCCCGCAAGCTCGCCCCCTCACGCAACAACGTGCGCCAAGCCGCCTCTGCAGGTGGGTCTGCCAAGCCACGTCTGCACTGCAGGTGGGTGTGCCAAGCCACATCTGCACTGCAGGTGGGTCTGCCAAGCCACGTCTGCACTGCAGGTGGGTCTGCCAAGCCACGTCCGCACTGCAGGTGGGCTCGTGGTCCCCCCCAGTCCGGCCTTCCTCCCTGCCGCATGCTCACGTGTTCACGTGTGGGCTTGCTAAGCCGTGTCTGCAGGTGGGTGGGTGCACCAGGCAGCGGCGGCGAAACGAAGAGCAGAGAGTAAGACGTCTAGTGACAGGCGCTGTAGGCTCGGGCCACCCCTCTCGTTCCCAAGGTGCTACTTGCATGTCATCATTTCTTGCATGCTCATGCATGTGCGCACAAAGGCACAACCCTATACACCTTACTTCTCATTTGTCGCTTCCCTCCCGCTCCGCCCACACATGACACAACACGAGGCGACCTCCTAGCTACCCCGCACGCAGTGCTGGGGGATACCATACTGCTGGGGGATACCATACTGCTCACACACAGCCGCCATTACTGCCACGATTTCCCAACCAAGTACCATGCGCTCTTCCCATCCCATCCCACACATGGCATGACAGGAGGCGAGCTGCTGGCAACACCACGCTACAACATGGGTGTGCTGGAGGATGGCACTCACACGGCCGCCCATCACCTCGTCTCACATGCCATCAACCTCGTGCCCGCCCTGCCCCATGCTCTCGTGCTGCTCAAGGTGACTGGCTGAACCTTAAGTGAATCGTCTTTGTAGAATTGCTCGCACCCCCTCGTGGGGGACGCTCATGCAGTGCACATGCCATGAGGCTGTTGCGCATACCCCTCTCCTGCGCTCACATCGTACGGCCGCCCATCACCTCGTCTCGCATGCCACAGAGCTCGTGCCTGCCCTGCCCCATGCGCTCGTGCTGCTCAAGGTGATGTGATGTGACTGTAAGGAGGTGAAACTGTTGAAACGATGCCTTGCCTTTGAAAACCTCGCGCGCGAGTCCCGATCATTTCATGGCTTCGTTCGCCAATGTGCTGTGCATGCCATGCCATCAGTGCAGCAGGCACAGCGGATACAATGCTCCATGCATGTGTGGTAGTGATATGATGTCTTGCACTGCAGCATTGAACATGCCATCCATTCACCACAAAATATCATATCATCGTTGATAGAGCCTCCCAGGGCCTCCCTTTTCTACCATAACAGCGTTTCTCCCCTCCACATCCCCTCCATCCCCCTGTCACCTATCACCCGGCAGGTCTGGGCTCGCCAGCGGTACGGCACCAAGTGCCACATGGCACCTGCTGATTGGCTGAACGGTTTCCAGCTGTCTCTGCTGGCAGCACACCTGGCGTCGCCCCACAACCCCCACCGCCGCGTCATGCCTGCCATGTCAGCATTCCAGATCTTCCGATGTGTCATTGATGCCATGGGTATGTGTGGGGCATGATGCTATGGGCAAATGCATTGATCACATGTTTTGTGCTTTTGCCGTGCTCATGTGCTCATCTCACTTTTTACCACACCCCACCCACCACGCTACCCATCTTTACCAATTAGCACCAACCAGCACCAACCAGCACCGCTCTCTTCCAGAAACCAGCTGCCTCCGCTTCCTTCATCCGTACAAACCTCCAGCCAATCCTCCATCCATTCCTCCATCCATGCCTCCATCCATGCCTCCATCCATGCCTCCATCCATTCCTTCATCCATGCCTCCATCCATGCCTCCATCCATGCCTCCATCCATGCCTCCATCCATGCCTCCATCCATGCCTCCATCCATGCCTCCATCCATGTCTCCATCCATGCCTCCATCCATGCCTCCATCCATGCCTCCATCCATGCCTCCATCCATGCCTCCATCCATGCCTCCATCCATGCCTCCATCCATGCCTCCATCCATGCCTCCATCCTCTTGTTCTCTGCTCCCTCCTCGCCCCGTCACGTATGTCTGCCTCCACACCTGCATGCAGGCAACGCGGATCTCCTCCAGCAGCCCATCCTCCTCGTCGCCCCTGATGGCTCCCCCAACGTGCTCCAGGCCAATGCTCAGGTGCCCTCCCCTCCCTCCTCGTACTCCCCATCCTCTTTCATTGACCATCGTCACTTGTTCTTTCATCACACCTCATTCCCATCTTAGCCCTTCAAGCCTTCAAGGGGATGTCAAGAAACTATATGCTTTGTGAACTTTCTCTCTTCTGTTCTCTTTTCATTTTCCCGTTCGCTCTTGCTCTTCCTTGTTTCTGCTTCTCTCGTTCCCTGTTGTTCCCCCTTATTCCCTCTCATTCTCTCTCATTCCCATTCAATTTTTCTCATAAATCCCCGTATGCCATTACCTCACCACCACCAGGCGCGCAGGGACATGCAGAGAGCGTTCGACTGGCTGCTCTGCGACCCATCGGGGACCGTCAACTTCGCCTCCCGAGTCTCCAAGTCCGCCCTGCACCAGGTGCGCCCTTCCTCCACCAGGTGCGGCCTGTTAATGCCTGTAACCAAACAACGCTTTCACTTATCTCGCATACACACATCTTTTCTGCCCAAGCTCCCTCCACACGCTTCCCCTTGGTCCTCCACACGCTTCCCCTTGGTCCTCCACACGCTTCCCCTTGGTCCTCCACACGCTTCCCCTTGGTCCTCCACACGCTTCCCCTTGGTCCTCCACACGCTTCCCCTTGGTCTGCTATCACTCTCGGATCCGTGTGCACGCACAGCACACGTACAGTGTGACCAAGTGGGAAGGAAGGGGGGCGTCATGGCAAGAGTAGTTGAAACTAGATTTATGCCTTCAGCTGAGCCCCTCGTCTCTCCTTCCTCCTTCCTCCTCACTCTCGTTCATCCATGCCCTTCCTTCCTTCCCCCTAATCCCATCCGTTTTTCCGCTCAGCACACCCTACAGTGTGGTCAAGTGGGGAGGGGGATGCCGTGTCGAGTAGTTCAAGTATGGACACAGCACACGTTCGCTGTGTCCCTAGAGTGTCCACACTTTCCGCCGAGCCGATGCTCTTCCTCCGTCCTCCTCCTCACGCTCTTTCATCCATGCCCCTTCCTTCCTTCCCATGCATCAGATCTGCCTGGACGTGCACCACACATGAAGTGTGATCAAGTTAGAGCGAGCGCCTGCAATAAGTTGTTCATCAATGTGCAGTGTGGTGTGGTGTGGTGCACACGGCACACTGAACAGTGCAGTGAAGGAGCGCCTGCAACAATGTGCAGTGTGCACACCTTCAGTCGTGCGCCTAATTCTCCTCACTCTCCTCTATTCATGCCCCTCCCCCCCACACCATCAAATTCGTCTGGACGCGCGTTCCACACCCACAGTGTGATCAAGTCGGGGGAAGTCATGTTCAGATTCGTCAAGTCAATGTCCTCGCCTTCAGTCATGCCAATCTGCCTTCAGTCATGCCAATCTGCCTTCAGTCATGCCAATCTGCCTTCAGTCATGCCAATCTGCCTTCAGTCATGCCAATCTGCCTTCAGTCATGCCAATCTGCCTTCAGTCATGCCAATCTGCCTTCAGTCATGCCAATCTGCCTTCAGTCATGCCAATCTGCCTTCAGTCATGCCAATCTGCCTTCAGTCATGCCAATCTGCCTTCAGTCATGCCAATCTGCCTTCAGTCATGCCAATCTGCCTTCAGTCATGCCAATCTGCCTTCAGTCATGCCAATCTGCCTTCAGTCATGCCAATCTGCCTTCAGTCATGCCAATCTGCCTTCAGTCATGCCAATCTGCCTTCAGTCATGCCAATCTGCCTTCAGTCATGCCAATCTGCCTTCAGTCATGCCAATCTGCCTTCAGTCATGCCAATCTGCCTTCAGTCATGCCAATCTGCCTTCAGTCATGCCAATCTGCCTTCAGTCATGCCAATCTGCCTTCAGTCATGCCAATCTGCCTTCAGTCATGCCAATCTGCCTTCAGTCATGCCAATCTGCCTTCAGTCATGCCAATCTGCCTTCAGTCATGCCAATCTGCCTTCAGTCATGCCAATCCAATCTGCCTTCAGTCATGCCAATCTGCCTTCAGTCATGCCAATCTGCCTTCAGTCATGCCAATCTGCCTTCAGTCATGCCAATCTGCCTTCAGTCATGCCAATCTGCCTTCAGTCAGGCCAATCTGCCTTCAGTCATGACCAATCTGCCTTCAGTCAATGCCAAGTCTGCCTTCAGTCCATGCCAATCTGCCTCAGTCATGCCAATCTGCCTCAGTCATGCAATCTGCCTTCAGTCATGCCAATCGGCCTTCAGTCATGCCGATCTGCCTTCAGTCATGCCAATCTGTCTTCAGTCATACCCCTTTCTGCCTTCAGTCATGCCAATCTGCCTTCAGTCATGCCAATCTGCCTTCAGTCATGCCAATCTGCCTTCAGTCATGCCAATCTGCCTTCAGTCATGCCAATCTGCCTTCAGTCATGCCAATCTGCCCTTCAGTCATGCCAATCTGCCTTCAGTCATGCCAATCTGCCTTCAGTCATGCCAATCTGCCTTCAGTCATGCCAATCTGCCTTCAGTCATGCCAATCTGCCTTCAGTCATGCCAATCTGCCTTCAGTCATGCCAATCTGCCTTCAGTCATGCCAATCTGCCTTCAGTCATGCCAATCTGCCTTCAGTCATGCCAATCTGCCTTCAGTCATGCCAATCTGCCTTCAGTCATGCCAATCTGCCTTCAGTCATGCCAATCTGCCTTCAGTCATGCCAATCTGCCTTCAGTCATGCCAATCTGCCTTCAGTCATGCCAATCTGCCTTCAGTCATGCCAATCTGCCTTCAGTCATGCCAATCTGCCTTCAGTCATGCCAATCTGCCTTCAGTCATGCCAATCTGCCTTCAGTCATGCCAATCTGCCTTCAGTCATGCCAATCTGCCTTCAGTCATGCCAATCTGCCTTCAGTCATGCCAATCTGCCTTCAGTCATGCCAATCTGCCTTCAGTCATGCCAATCTGCCTTCAGTCATGCCAATCTGCCTTCAGTCATGCCAATCTGCCTTCAGTCATGCCAATCTGCCTTCAGTCATGCCAATCTGCCTTCAGTCATGCCAATCTGCCTTCAGTCATGCCAATCTGCCTTCAGTCATGCCAATCTGCCTTCAGTCATGCCAATCTGCCTTCAGTCATGCCAATCTGCCTTCAGTCATGCCAATCTGCCTTCAGTCATGCCAATCTGCCTTCAGTCATGCCAATCTGCCTTCAGTCATGCCAATCTGCCTTCAGTCATGCCAATCTGCCTTCAGTCATGCCAATCTGCCTTCAGTCATGCCAATCTGCCTTCAGTCATGCCAATCTGCCTTCAGTCATGCCAATCTGCCTTCAGTCATGCCAATCTGCCTTCAGTCATGCCAATCTGCCTTCAGTCATGCCAATCTGCCTTCAGTCATGCCAATCTGCCTTCAGTCATGCCAATCTGCCTTCAGTCATGCCAATCTGCCTTCAGTCATGCCAATCTGCCTTCAGTCATGCCAATCTGCCTTCAGTCATGCCAATCTGCCTTCAGTCATGCCAATCTGCCTTCAGTCATGCCAATCTGCCTTCAGTCATGCCAATCTGCCTTCAGTCATGCCAATCTGCCTTCAGTCATGCCAATCTGCCTTCAGTCATGCCAATCTGCCTTCAGTCATGCCAATCTGCCTTCAGTCATGCCAATCTGCCTTCAGTCATGCCAATCTGCCTTCAGTCATGCCAATCTGCCTTCAGTCATGCCAATCTGCCTTCAGTCATGCCAATCTGCCTTCAGTCATGCCAATCTGCCTTCAGTCATGCCAATCTGCCTTCAGTCATGCCAATCTGCCTTCAGTCATGCCAATCTGCCTTCAGTCATGCCAATCTGCCTTCAGTCATGCCAATCTGCCTTCAGTCATGCCAATCTGCCTTCAGTCATGCCAATCTGCCTTCAGTCATGCCAATCTGCCTTCAGTCATGCCAATCTGCCTTCGCCAATCTGCCTTCAGTCATGCCAATCTGCCTTCAGTCATGCCAATCTGCCTTCAGTCATGCCAATCTGCCTTCAGTCATGCCAATCTGCCTTCAGTCATGCCAATCTGCCTTCAGTCATGCCAATCTGCCTTCAGTCATGCCAATCTGCCTTCAGTCATGCCAATCTGCCTTCAGTCATGCCAATCTGCCTTCAGTCATGCCAATCTGCCTTCAGTCATGCCAATCTGCCTTCAGTCATGCCAATCTGCCTTCAGTCATGCCAATCTGCCTTCAGTCATGCCAATCTGCCTTCAGTCATGCCAATCTGCCTTCAGTCATGCCAATCTGCCTTCAGTCATGCCAATCTGCCTTCAGTCATGCCAATCTGCCTTCAGTCATGCCAATCTGCCTTCAGTCATGCCAATCTGCCTTCAGTCATGCCAATCTGCCTTCAGTCATGCCAATCTGCCTTCAGTCATGCCAATCTGCCTTCAGTCATGCCAATCTGCCTTCAGTCATGCCAATCTGCCTTCAGTCATGCCAATCTGCCTTCAGTCATGCCAATCTGCCTTCAGTCATGCCAATCTGCCTTCAGTCATGCCAATCTGCCTTCAGTCATGCCAATCTGCCTTCAGTCATGCCAATCTGCCTTCAGTCATGCCAATCTGCCTTCAGTCATGCCAATCTGCCTTCAGTCATGCCAATCTGCCTTCAGTCATGCCAATCTGCCTTCAGTCATGCCAATCTGCCTTCAGTCATGCCAATCTGCCTTCAGTCATGCCAATCTGCCTTCAGTCATGCCAATCTGCCTTCAGTCATGCCAATCTGCCTTCAGTCATGCCAATCTGCCTTCAGTCATGCCAATCTGCCTTCAGTCATGCCAATCTGCCTTCAGTCATGCCAATCTGCCTTCAGTCATGCCAATCTGCCTTCAGTCATGCCAATCTGCCTTCAGTCATGCCAATCTGCCTTCAGTCATGCCAATCTGCCTTCAGTCATGCCAATCTGCCTTCAGTCATGCCAATCTGCCTTCAGTCATGCCAATCTGCCTTCAGTCATGCCAATCTGCCTTCAGTCATGCCAATCTGCCTTCAGTCATGCCAATCTGCCTTCAGTCATGCCAATCTGCCTTCAGTCATGCCAATCTGCCTTCAGTCATGCCAATCTGCCTTCAGTCATGCCAATCTGCCTTCAGTCATGCCAATCTGCCTTCAGTCATGCCAATCTGCCTTCAGTCATGCCAATCTGCCTTCAGTCATGCCAATCTGCCTTCAGTCATGCCAATCTGCCTTCAGTCATGCCAATCTGCCTTCAGTCATGCCAATCTGCCTTCAGTCATGCCAATCTGCCTTCAGTCATGCCAATCTGCCTTCAGTCATGCCAATCTGCCTTCAGTCATGCCAATCTGCCTTCAGTCATGCCAATCTGCCTTCAGTCATGCCAATCTGCCTTCAGTCATGCCAATCTGCCTTCAGTCATGCCAATCTGCCTTCAGTCATGCCAATCTGCCTTCAGTCATGCCAATCTGCCTTCAGTCATGCCAATCTGCCTTCAGTCATGCCAATCTGCCTTCAGTCATGCCAATCTGCCTTCAGTCATGCCAATCTGCCTTCAGTCATGCCAATCTGCCTTCAGTCATGCCAATCTGCCTTCAGTCATGCCAATCTGCCTTCAGTCATGCCAATCTGCCTTCAGTCATGCCAATCTGCCTTCAGTCATGCCAATCTGCCTTCAGTCATGCCAATCTGCCTTCAGTCATGCCAATCTGCCTTCAGTCATGCCAATCTGCCTTCAGTCATGCCAATCTGCCTTCAGTCATGCCAATCTGCCTTCAGTCATGCCAATCTGCCTTCAGTCATGCCAATCTGCCTTCAGTCATGCCAATCTGCCTTCAGTCATGCCAATCTGCCTTCAGTCATGCCAATCTGCCTTCAGTCATGCCAATCTGCCTTCAGTCATGCCAATCTGCCTTCAGTCATGCCAATCTGCCTTCAGTCATGCCAATCTGCCTTCAGTCATGCCAATCTGCCTTCAGTCATGCCAATCTGCCTTCAGTCATGCCAATCTGCCTTCAGTCATGCCAATCTGCCTTCAGTCATGCCAATCTGCCTTCAGTCATGCCAATCTGCCTTCAGTCATGCCAATCTGCCTTCAGTCATGCCAATCTGCCTTCAGTCATGCCAATCTGCCTTCAGTCATGCCAATCTGCCTTCAGTCATGCCAATCTGCCTTCAGTCATGCCAATCTGCCTTCAGTCATGCCAATCTGCCTTCAGTCATGCCAATCTGCCTTCAGTCATGCCAATCTGCCTTCAGTCATGCCAATCTGCCTTCAGTCATGCCAATCTGCCTTCAGTCATGCCAATCTGCCTTCAGTCATGCCAATCTGCCTTCAGTCATGCCAATCTGCCTTCAGTCATGCCAATCTGCCTTCAGTCATGCCAATCTGCCTTCAGTCATGCCAATCTGCCTTCAGTCATGCCAATCTGCCTTCAGTCATGCCAATCTGCCTTCAGTCATGCCAATCTGCCTTCAGTCATGCCAATCTGCCTTCAGTCATGCCAATCTGCCTTCAGTCATGCCAATCTGCCTTCAGTCATGCCAATCTGCCTTCAGTCATGCCAATCTGCCTTCAGTCATGCCAATCTGCCTTCAGTCATGCCAATCTGCCTTCAGTCATGCCAATCTGCCTTCAGTCATGCCAATCTGCCTTCAGTCATGCCAATCTGCCTTCAGTCATGCCAATCTGCCTTCAGTCATGCCAATCTGCCTTCAGTCATGCCAATCTGCCTTCAGTCATGCCAATCTGCCTTCAGTCATGCCAATCTGCCTTCAGTCATGCCAATCTGCCTTCAGTCATGCCAATCTGCCTTCAGTCATGCCAATCTGCCTTCAGTCATGCCAATCTGCCTTCAGTCATGCCAATCTGCCTTCAGTCATGCCAATCTGCCTTCAGTCATGCCAATCTGCCTTCAGTCATGCCAATCTGCCTTCAGTCATGCCAATCTGCCTTCAGTCATGCCAATCTGCCTTCAGTCATGCCAATCTGCCTTCAGTCATGCCAATCTGCCTTCAGTCATGCCAATCTGCCTTCAGTCATGCCGCTCCTCTCCCCGTCCCCTTCCTCGCTCACTCTCTGATCCATCTGGACACGCGTTTCACACCCACAGTATGATCAAGTCGGGGGGTGGGTGGGGGAGTAGCAAGTTTTTCAGTCAATGTCCACATCTTAAGTGTCGTGCGCTTCTCTCCCCTCCCACCCCTCCCACCCCCATCAGATTCGTCTGGATGCGCAGCACACGTACAATGTGATCAAGTCAGGGGGGGCGCCCGTGGTGTGTCTGCCGGGACAGGGAGTGCTGCTCGCATTTATGCAGCCCTGCAGCCTGGCCGACAGATTCGATTTGATCACCACGTGAGTACCTTCTGTGCAGTGCATGGGAGGTGGTGTTGTGTTTGATTGTGAGATCTTCCTCCGGTGAAGTAAACGAAGCTTTCTTGTTTGTTCATCTCAGCCGTCCCTCCGCCCGCACCTCCTCGTTAGCCTGCGACTCCAACATGCCTCTCATCCCCCTCAATAAACGCGGTGCCATGGCCTCGTTCATCCATCTCTGGGTGCCAAGCATAAGCCGCACACTTCCCTCTTCTGTCGTTTCCCTGCCCTGCCCTGCCCTGCCCTGCCCTGCCCTGCCCTGCCCCATCCCATCCCATCCCATCCCATCCCATCCCATCCCATCCCATCCCATCCCACCCCAGTGTGCACGACACACCTCCTGCCACGCCCAAGGCGGCGCTGCTGCTGGACGAGCCCCCCCACCGGCGCAGGGAGGGGGCAGCAGCAGGTGTGGTGGCGAGGGGCATGGGGGAGAGGGCCACGGCTGTGCGGGTGCACCCCAGGGAGGTGCCTTCTGGCTGGCGCCTTGAGCAGGTGCGTGTGGTGCTGAGTGAGAAACAGGGTGAACTGGTTCCTTACTGAAAGCCTTTTAGAATCAATCGTTTTTTATGAAATTTGGGGTTTATTTAAACTTCACACTACCTCTACTTCACTCGCCTCTACCCACTCCCCGTGTTGTGTCACCACAGGTGCACAGCCCCTCACAGGGCATGGCACGGTTCGCCTCTGTCCCAATCCCCATTCCATTGCACTCTTGAGATGCCACTCTGCCACTGTCGCCCCTCTCCACCATCCTACACGGCATGCCATGCCACCACTCGGTGCTGTGTGCTTGGCACATAATAGGCTGTGCCGAGTGCACATGTGCATGGCACAGCCTGCTGTGCTAATCGGAGTGTTGCTTTGAGACGACTGCTGTGTTCACATTGTTGTCTTTTCAAAGTTTCAGCCTTTTCCCTCCTTGTGCCCCCCACCTTCGCCCCTTCCACCTTCGCCCCTTCCACCTTCGCCCCTTCCACCACAGGGCCTGCCAGCACTGGACAGCGCGCTTGCAGGAATAAGAGTGTTGCTTTGGGGAGCAGACTGTGTAACTGTGGTGTGCTCAAGAGTTACCCTCATCTCCTCTCACCGTACCGTCTGCTCTCATTGCACCCCCATCTTCTCCCCTTCCCCCACACAGGGCCTGCCAGCGGTGGGCGGCGCGTCGGTGCTGATCGGAGTGTCGCTGGCGTCGCCTGACACGGCTCTGCGCCTCGTGGACAAGGGGCCCAGCGCGGACAACAAGGCCGAGGTGAGCGCCATGCAGACAGGGGTGGTTGGCTGGGCCTGCACCTGGTAGGCACATGCTGAACAACTGGTATGATTTCTTTGATTGGCGTGAAATTACTTTTAAGAAATGCCCCCTCGGCTTCCTCATCCTCACCCATGTCTGTAACCTCTGCTTTCCCCTTTTCTTCCCAAGCACCCAGGAAATTAATAAGCCCTCACTAAAGCTCTAAGTCCTGCAAATGGCACTAATTGGCACAAGTGATTAAGTGACTTCTATATGAAACCTTGACTTTAGAGTCGGCTCAGAATGTTTGAGAAGACATATTCGGTTGTCTTGTTGAATGCTTACAGCCAATGCACCGGCAGGTGTGCCTGGGCTGCCGCTGCTCCCACCGAGCCTGTGTGTTGCACCAATGTTAGGTAGAGTACAGCCAACACGTTCCAATGTCAGCCTTGAAACGGACCAGAGTGGGGTTTTGCGTCTGTAATTCGCACGAATTGCTATAAGCTGCGCATTCCTCCTCGTTCCGAGCAAAACCCCACTCTGGTCTGTTTCGAGGCTGACATTGGAACGTGTTGGTTGTACTCTACCTAACATTGGCGCAGCAGAAGGGCTTGGTGGGAGCAGCGGTTGCACAGGCACACCTGCGGATGCATTGGCTGTAAGCACACAACAAGACAACCAAAATCAGTATTTGTATAGATTCAAAAGCCATGATTCTTTTAGAAAACACTTAGTGACACTAATGAGCCTAAGTTCCCACAATCGCCGCACCCAAGTCCCCACAATTCCTCCACTCCCAATCCCCCCTTCTCCCCTCCCGCTCCCGCCACCTACCCTCTCACCCCTCCCCCCACTCCCTTTCCCTTCCCACCCCCTCGCCCCCCTCTTTCAGGCGCTCAAGTTCCGTGCTTTCTGGGGCCCCAAGGCAGAGCTGAGGCGCTGGAAGGACGGCACCATCACCGAGGCTGTGGGTGCGTGTGTGCTGTGCGGTGGAGAGGGGGGTGGGGGAGTTCAGGGAGGCTGAGGGGGGTGTAGCGAGGTGGGGGGGGGTGCAGCTAAGTGGCGAAATACGCGTATAGCGTATATACGCGTGTCGTATATACGCATGCGTTTATACGCTATACGCTAAGGTCCCGAATCCAGGAATACGCTTTTTCGGGCAGGGTAAAAAAAACCCGGGCAGGGTGAAAAAAACACCCTAGGTATAGTTCACAGGGGCGATTCACGGAGGTTGTGTCTCAGGTTCATTTTTTCCCCTATGACGCGAAATGCTTAAAGACTTCGTGCTCAACATCGGGAAGTTACTTCCCTAGTCTCACAAAGAGGACGTGCCCTATCGTTATCTTGCGTGGGATCGGGTGGCGGGTTGGGAACAGTAGACATTGATTGCGTTTTGGACTAGGAGTGACTAGGTGAGTACGACGAAGTAGATCTGACGAGAAACGATGTGTTGGAGGGGACGTAGTGGAAAGGTTGGAGTTCGTAGATTGGGTTCGGTTCCAAGAGGTGGAACCCTGAAATTCGAAATTGCAACTCCAACCTGAATCCAAACATTGAAGGGACATTCCCGCTACCATAGATCTCCGATGCGCATTTCGACCACCGCGAAATGATCGCCGTGAAAAACGGCAGATTTCTTTATATTCCTGAAATTTTTCACCTTGGGCTGCCCAGAAAAAAACTCCCGAGCGTATTGCGTATTTGCTAGCGTATTGCGTTTTGCGTGTATACGCAAGCGGATAAACGCTATACGCTTAAAGGCAAAAGCGTATTTCGCCACTTAGGGGTGCAGTGAGGATGGCTACCATGTCTCATCTCATGTTGTGCCTTCATGGCTCCCTTGACACGGCACCACACTCAGCACCATCTCACACGGCACCACACTCAGCACCATCTCATCTCATCGGACTGCAAATCCTCACCAGCTTCATCAGCCTTTCACGCCTCATCAGCCTCACCCTGCAGCGCCACCTGGGGGTGGACGAGGGCAGCTCCTCACACACCCTCTCCTCTCCGATACATCATACCACACTTCTCCCTCTCTTCCTCCTCCGTTGCAGCATGGGATGCCAGTGCAACAGAGCGCCACCTCATCCCCCGTTCGCCCTGCAGCGCCACCTGGGGTTGAAAAAATACAGCCCTCTCGCTTGCATCTCCTTACCCTCCCTGTCCACCACACCATGGCACCCTTCTCCCTGTCCACCACACCATGGCACCCTTCTCCCTGTCCACCACACCATGGCACCCTTCTCCCTTCTGTCTTCCCTCTTCTCTCGCTGCAGCATGGGAAGCCCCCTCCACGGAGCGCCACCTCATCCCCTCACGCCTCATCTCGTTTGTCCTGCAGCGCCACCTGGGGGTGGACGAGGGCGCTGTGAGGGTGGCTGCAGGGCAGCTGGACTTTGCTCTGCAGGTGGCAGGCAAGGGTGAGTGGGGGAGGGGTGGGGCTGTCGTGTTGTGAAATGTGATCGGATGGAAAGGATAGGCCAGGGGTGTGCGTGTGTGCATGTGACTTTTGAGTCGACTCAAAAGTGACACGTGGGGGTGACAAGGCCGCTGCGAGGGCGGCTGCAGGCCAGCTGGACTTGGCACTGCAGGTGGCGGGCAGGCATGGGTGTGTGGTGGGGAGGGTTGCGTGCGTGTGGGTGTGCTGTGGTTTGATCTGGTGGGATGGGATGGGATGGGATGCGCTGAATGGGATGGGATGTGGTTACCTCCATAGTGCAATTTACATCCATGAGTGTCTAACATGACAATGCTTTGATTTGATGTGCATTATCTCCTCTCCCTCTTCCGTCCCGACCACTCTCTCAGCACCATGCATGCATCCCTTCCACCACCACCACGCCTCTCATGCAGTCATCTGACCCGCCTCTCAGCGCCGCAGCTAGAGTCTCTTGCCAAGTTTGCAACCCTAATCCTTCTTTCAAAACCCGAAATCTTTTACCCAAAAGTTTGTATACACCTTGCCCTTGTTGCGCCTCCCCTCCTCCCCCCCCCGCCCTCACCACCCCTGTAACTGCCATGTCTCCCACAGACCCAGCATCATCCGCCCCGGCACTCAGCGCAGCCTTTGAGCGTGTGGCCTCGCTGCTGCGCCAGCTGCCCTCCCTGCCGCTCTCCGTCGTCGCCCTGCACTCCCTCTCCCCCGGTGCGTGCTTCCCTCTCCCCCGGTGCGTGCTTCCCTCTCTCCACCCCATCCATCCCCCCGTGCCTCTCCTCTCCGCCTTGCACGCATCACAAGGAGCACAGCTGCCCTTGTCTGTGCTGCGTGTTGTATGGAATATGCGCTTGCCCATACCCATCACCACGATGACCCACGTCGTGGGCCAAGCCTTTGCTCAGCCTCTTGCCCGTCAATGTTTGATTGCTGTCCTCCCCCTCATTCTCCTCCCCATCTCCTCCCTCCTGCCCTTCCCCCTCTCCCCCCCCATCGCAGCAACAAGGGGAGCAGCGGCCTTCCCCCCATCACCCTGCCCGCCTCCCTCTGCAGGGGGCGCAGCAGAGGAAGAGGGCGTGTGGCGGCGCTGTGTGGATCCGGTTCCCGTGGCCGTGCAGGTGAGGGGGGCTTCGGGGTGACGGGCAGAGGGACGAGCGTCGAAACTACATGATAGGCACTGGATGATCCACTGGGATAGGCACTGGATGATCCACTGGGATAGGCACTGGATGATCCACTGGGATAGGCAGTGCGGGCAGGGGAGGGCGTGTGGCGGCGTTGTGTGGACCCTGTGCCCGTGGCCGTGCAGGTGAGGGGGGGGGTGGGGTGGGAGGGAGTGGGCAGGCGAGAGTTGAGAGTATCGACAGACACAGGAATCTGGTGATGGGGGCAGGGGAGGGTGTGTGGCGTTGTTGTGTAGATTCCATGAATCTGTCTGCTCCCACCAGTGCTGCCATGAATCCCTTGTGCACATATCTCTTCCTTCCACTCACTTCGCTCCCTTTTCCATTCGGCTGGAGGCTGGCCAGCCAGTAGCACTACCATCCTTTGACCAGACGAAGCCCACTCATGCCCCGCTACCTACCACGCCTACTCCCTCCGCCCTCTCCCTCTACCCTCTCCCCTCCCCCCCGTGCAGCTCGAGGCGTCCAGCAAGTGGCCCGATGATCCCGAGGCGCTGCGCCTCACGCGCCACGCGTTCTGCCTGCAGATGGCCAGCAGGTGAGGACTTTTGAGACGTCTCAAAAGCGTTCTGCCTGCAGATGGCCAGCAGGTGAGGACTTTTGAGACGTCTCAAAAGCGTTCTGCCTGCAGATGGCCAGCAGGTGAGGACTTTTGAGACGTCTCAAAAGCGTTCTGCCTGCAGATCGCCAGCAGGTGAGGACGGGTGGGAGCAGTTGGGGTTGGAGTGGCATGGGTTGAGCGGGTAGCAGACGAGCCCCATGTGGAGAGGTGCTCCATGGCCCATGCCCGATGGCTCATGGTCCATGTCATCATCACCCATGCGCCCACTTGCCTTCCCCACCTTTTTCTCCTTGCCTCCCTTCTTGCTCCTCCTCACCTTTTTGCTCCCACACGGAGTGGACGTGGAGGTAGCATGGAGCGCCGTGGATGTTTCGGTTGATGGCTTTGCCTTCCGCCTCTTCCGCCTCTTCCGCCTCTTCCGCCTCTTCCGCCTCTTCCCAGCCCATCATACACCCACTCCCATTCTCTCCTCTTCCCGCGTGCCAGCCTGCAGGAGGCACACGGGGTGGCAGTGGAAGCAGCGCAGGGCGCCGTGGATGTGATGATTGATGGCATTGCCTTCCGCCTCGTGCTGCTCCATGACTATGGTGAGATGCATGACTATGGTGAGATGCATGATTTGTGAGTTACATATAGCACACACATGGTCATAGGACACGTCAGCAGTGGTGCTCAATCGTTTTAGCACATACACATGCGCTTGGTGGGATTGGTTCCACATTGTCCCCCTCTTCAGCTAGTCTCCTTATATCCTTCCTCTTCACACCTTCCCTCCCATCCCTCCAGTCCCACCAGCCCAGGATGTTACCGCCTCCTCCTCCTCCACATCCCTCACTCCCCTCATCACGCCCTCGCCCCTCACCGCCGTTCCCACCTCCCCCTCCGCCTTCTCCGAGACGCATCGCACGCTGCAGCACCACAGCACACTCAACGGGCTCACGGGTCGCCACCCCACCTTCGGCCCCATTGCAAGGTGACACCCAAGACCCAGAGGTGATAGCAGTGATGGTGCAGGTGGTGCTGCTATGAGCTGGGTGTGATGGCGATGGCAATGTTGGGTGGGTGTGATGGCGATGGCAATGCGGCACCACAGCACGCACAGTACAATTGGCTCACTAATCGCCACCCGCCCTTTGGCTCCATTGCAAGGTGACAGACACTATGGTGCACCGTGGTGCTCATAGAGGTGCTGCTTATAAAGGGGGTGCTGGTACAGGTGCTGCTGCTGATGACGATCACAATGTTAGGAATTCTGTCGACTTTCTGTAAGGCGACCTGAAGTTGCCGTCGCGTATTTTGGAGGAGGGTTTGACGTGAGGCTAAGCTGACGTGAGGCTAAGCTGCGTGCCTCATCTCTCTCAAACGGTCTGTGTATAAGATCAAATAAGGACATACATGCAGGCAAGTATATGGCAAGTATATGGGAAGTATATGCAATCTTTACTCACTTCTATCCCCTACATCTCCCTGCCCTCACCTCCCACTGCTTCCCTCCTCGAGCGGTCCCACTCCTCGCTTTCAAACGGGCTAGCCAAGCGGTGGGTGGCAAGCCAAGCGGTGGGTGGCAAGCCAAGCGGTGGGTGGCAAGCCAAGCGGTGGGTGGCAAGCCATCTATTCTCATTGAAGCTGAAAGGAGAGGCGGTGGAGTGGGGGTACTGATGGCTCACACCCTCGTCGCGTCCACTGATTTCCCTCTCCTCCCATACATGCCAGGCTTGCCAAGCGGTGGGTGGCAAGCCATCTCTTCTCGTCGCACCTCAAAGAAGAGGCGGTGGAGCTGCTGGTGGCTCACACCCTCACCGCGCCCAACCCCCTGCTGCTGCCCGCCCCCAAGTCGCGACTCGCTGGCCTCCTCAGGTGAAACAGCAGATGTGCACTCAGGTAGGGCAGTGTTCAGGCAAATAGCAGGTGTGTGCTCAGGTCAGGTGAAACAGCAGATGTGTTTTCAGGTGGAATTGCAGTGGGTTTTTTCATGAGCAGCAGGGGAAGAAAAACTATAGCCACTTTAGGGTAGCTGGTGTTTTGTTGTGTGCCTTCCTCCTCCCTCTTACCTCCCCATCCTCTCCACATCTTGCTGCTTCATCGTTCCCCGCAGCTGTCTTGCCATTCCTTGCCAGGTGCTGCCACCCCCTCCTGTCAAACCCGACCCGCAGCTCGCTTCCTTCCATCAAAACATCGCCATAATGTCACGCTGGCGTCAACTCTGTGCTTCGCACAACCATTGATGGCCTCACCAACCAACACCATTCTCCCTAATGCCGCCGTGTGGTCATTTTCCCCTCCTTCTCGCAATGTTTGCCACCGCCCTGCTGCACACGTGGCAGGTTCTTCCGCCTCGTGGCGTCGTACGATTGGCTGTCGCAGCCGCTCATAGTGGACGTGAACAGTGCTTTCTCTCCTGAAGACGTGCAGCAGATTCAGGTGAAAATCCAGATGCAAGCAAGAGGAGCAGTCTCACCAACCAATGCCACTCTGCACGTGTGAGGCACTTGTTGAGCTCTGCTGACCCTCAGCAGCAACGGTTCACCCTTGTCTTCATCACCTGCTTCCCATCCCACAAAGCTTCATTCTGTCTCTTACTCTCCACTCCACTGACTTTTAAGTGGGGTTCCATTGGACTGTCTCTTACTCTCCACTCCATCACGACGCCTTGGCCAGCTGGGGGTGAATCGCTCTACCCTCTTCTTCTTCTCCTCATTCTCCTCCCGTTCCTTCCTCCTTTGCCCCTTCCCTTCCCCTGCCACGCCCGTTTTGACGCGCGCCTACGGCCCCACACATATACCGTGGGAAGCGTGGCATGAATCGTCGAGTTGACTTTTGAGTCGACTCAAAAGTGGCATGAATCGTCGAGTTGACTTTTGAGTCGACTCAAAAGTGGCATGAATCGTCGAGTTGACTTTTGAGTCGACTCAAAAGTGGCATGAATCGTCTCCTTATCTTCCATCTCTACCCCACCAACCACCCCTCCCCACCAGGCTCGTTTCGATGCCCGCCTGCCTCCTCAAAAGGAAACCCTGGGCAGCTCAGCACGCAGCGTGGCAAAGCGATTGAAGCAGAGCACGGCGGAAGGGGGGAGGGAGGGAGGGAGGCAGCGAGGGCGAGTCGCCTCTTCACCCTCTTCACCCTCTTACCCCCATTCTTCCCCCCCCGAACCCATCGTGTTCCCCCACCAGGCTCGCTTTGATGAGCGCCTGCCACCCCACAAGGACACGCTGGGGAGCTCAGCACGCAGCGTGGCAAAGCGATTGAAGCAGAGCGCGGCGGAGGGAGGGAAGGACGGCGAGGGGGAGAAGGAGCGGCGCCCCGCCATGTGCATCTCCACGCCGTACGATCGCGACGGTGCCATGTGGACGCATCTCGGACCGTCCGTTGAGGTGACATGGCAGTATTCCCTCGTTTTCTGGTTACTGGTTGCTGTGCAATTTTGGTTCTAAACATTCTCAACTCAGAAGGACGGGTTTTTTAGTTTCGATGGCCTTCAGTGTCCGTGGTGATGGCAGGAGGAATGCCTTCTCATGACTTACCCACCTTAGACCACACCACACCACACCATACCACACCACACCACACCACACCACATTGTACCATCCCCCACTGTGATGGCAGGAGAAAGCCTTTGAATTTCTTGTGAATTTCTACCCACCCCTATCCGGCACTCCCTCCCTTCCCCCCTCTTCCTTCCCATGCTCCCTCCCTCCCTATTCCCCCACTTTCCCTCCCCCCTCCCTCTGTGCCCTTGTGCGTCTCGTGTGCTCCTCTGTCCCTTTCCCTCAGGCTCTGGAGCGTCTGTGTGCCTTTGCCGAAAGTGCAGCGCAAGTGCTGGCACAGCTGATCACAGGGGAGGGGGAGGAAGGGGGAGGTGGGGAGGAGGGAGGAAGAAAGGGAGGGGGCAAGGGGAAGGAGAGAGGCAATGAAAAGCACAGGGCGGTGCAGTGGAAGGTGGGTTTTTTGGGCCGCTCAGGCAGGTAACACAGAGCTGTGTTGCACATTCTTGCAAACGTCCCCTCTTTCCAATCCCCCACCCCCCCTCTGTCCTCCCTTGGAAGGAAATTTGTCTTTCACCACTGCCTTGCCTTGCTGGATCAGCTGTTTTCTTCTCCCACACCCCCTCTCATTCCTCTCATTCCTCTCATTCCTCTCATTCCTCTCATTCCTCTCATTCCTCTCATTCCTCTCATTCCTCTCATTCCTCTCATCCCTCTCATTCCTCTCATTCCTCTCATTCCTCTCATTCCTCTCATTCCTCTCATTCCTCTCATTCCTCTCATTCCTCTCATTTCTCTCATTCCTCTCATTCCTCTCATTCCTCTCATTCCTCTCATTTCTCTCATTTCTCTCATTCCTCTCATTCCTCTCATTCCTCTCATTCCTCTCATTCCTCTCATTTCTCTCATTTCTCTCATTCCTCTCATTCCTCTCATTTCTCTCATTCCAACATGGAACCCCCCGTCTCGCCTACCCTCCCCTCTCTCGAACCATCTCCCACGTGCAAACTTCTCCTTCTTCCCTTGCCCCTCCCTCCCGGCTGCAGTCGCTCTTCCTCTCACCGCTCTCCACGACATTCGACCTCGTCATTCACCTGGACCCTGCGTCCCTCCCCCACCACCACCGCGTGCTTTTCCCGGCCCCCAAGGCTCTGAGTACCGCCAAGGGTGAGCTCGCTTTCTACCATCCCCCATCTCTCAACTCTCCCACCACAGCATCATTCCCCTTCCAAAGGTGTGACACATGTGCAGTCCCAAGGTGCTATTTCTCAATAAGCTCATGTAGGCAAACACAATGCTGGTCTCAGACTCACCTCACACCACAAAGCTCATGGGCTCTCACCTCACACTATGCCTGGTCGTCTTGCCCTCAAGCAGACCACACCACAGCCGATTCAAGCATCTCCCGTCTGTGTCTATTGCATATCTGTTATGTGTCATGTGCCATGCCCATCGTCTGCTATCTGTCTGCGTGCAGGCTGGTTGCAAGTACCCTCGTCCCTCTCTCCAACAGATCCCACCTCCTCCTCATCCTCCTCCCCCTCAACCGCCCTCCCTCCGTCTCTCCATCGCCTCGCCTCTGCCGGCCCTCCGCTGCTCATTGGCTTCAATCCGACGGCTCTGCTGCTCACACACCTGCAGGTGAGCCGTTGGATTGACACGAATTGGATCCATCCGGAAATCACTGGCATGGTACTCCTGGTTTCGCACTTGTTCTGGTTTAGTCTGCTCATTCGCACTTGCACCTCGAAGTCGACTCTCCTCTGCCGCTCGCTCTCCCGTGTTGTCGTTTTCATCGCTCAGGAACGGTTTGGCTCGGTGCTCACCTTCTGGTATGACGGCCTCTGTGGGAGCGAGGTGATAGGTGCTACATGGCGCATTCCCATTGGTGCATCTGCTGACGGCGGTGCTGCTGCCCCCTGCCTGCCCCGCCGGGCCCAGCAAGCCCACCTGCTGCCGTGCTCCCACCAGTCTGAGCGAGAGGTAGGACACTCACGACTCGTTGAGAGAGCGAGGTACAAAACTTTCGCCATGCTCAGAGAGAAGTGTATGCCAATAATCAGAGAGAAGTGTATGCCAATAATCAGACGCTGAGAGAGAGAGAAGTATGGTACAATAAAACGTGTCAAGAAAATGGCGGTGAACGCGTATCTATATGGTACATGCTGACATGCTGGCAGTAGCGCGAGAGAGGGCGGTTGGGTGTGGAAAGATTCTGAGACATATCACCGGTGTGTTTGAGGCGCCTCAAAAGATTCTGAGACATATCACCGGTGTGTTTGAGGCGCCTCAAAAGATTCTGAGACATATCACCGGTGTGTTTGAGGCGCCTCAAAAGATTCTGAGACATATCACCGGTGTGTTTGAGGCGCCTCAAAAGATTCTGAGACATATCACCGGTGTGTTTGAGGCGCCTCAAAAGATTCTGAGACATATCACCGGTGAGCAAGGGGGTTGAGAAGTGATGACAGGGATAAGTGAGGGAAGGAGTTATGAAAAAGGACACCAAAGCTGATTAATTACTGCTGCTTTCACTGCACCTGCTGCTTTCACTGCACCTGCTGCTTTCACTGCACCTGCTGCCATCACTGCACTTGCTGCTGTCCATGTGCGCCCTTCTAGCCCTGTAAGTGCAGAGGTGGAGCAGGGAAGAGCAAGGCTGTGCACTCCCATGCTCCACCGTCCGCTCCACACTCTCCTCTCCCTTCCACGCTCTTCTCTCCTTTCTACACGTCCCACACCTTCCACACTCTCCTCTCTCCCGGTCCTCCACACTCTCCACTCCCTTACCGTCCACTCCCCTCCCTTACATGCTCCACCAAACCCTGCAACGCCTATGCCTTCTCTCCTCCCGCCACCCTAACCACTCACCAGCTGCTCTCTCCTTTCCTGCCGTCCCCACACCCTCCCCACTTGTCTCTTGCCTCCCCATGCCCAATTCACTCACCTCACCACCTGCTTTCTCCACGCCTCACCCTCCCCACTCACCAGCTGCCATGCGGAGTGGTGAATGTTGCTGCCATCATTGATGACATCAGCATCATGGGTGCAGGCCTTGTGGCGTCTGTCCATGTTCGGCAATGACCCGTCCGCCCTCAGTCTATTTGCAGCGGTTACCCTGATGCCATCTGTCTAGGTGGGGGTATGAGCTTATGTGATAATGTGAGGCAGAGAGACCCTTGTGTCGTCAGTCAATGTGCAGTGTAACGGATATGTGTAACAAGGATTCTCATGATATCATATGTTAAGTCAATGGTCTGTAGTCAGTGCAATTTGTTATCCCTGGCATCGGCTGCTTGTTCAGTTGCAGTACTACCGTACTTGGTACTGAATGCCCTATACACTTCAGCCAGCCTTAGCCTCTGCAATTTGAACACTGATAGCATAAAAGGCCATTTGCCAAATGATGGGATTTGTTTGACATCACTGCTCAAATCAATCAGGCTGGTCTCATCAAATGTATTAGCAGCACTCAGGACTTCACACATTGGACCACTAGATTGCAAAAAAATACCGCATGCTCTTCATCAAGTTTGCCCCGGCTAGGAGTGTTCAAACCCCTCTTGGTCAGGGAGTAGCTGTAGCTATCAGCTCATGATCAGTGACACAGTATTCAGGACAAATGTGATCCATTCATCTCAATCATGAAACCTTTCCATAAACATAACTCTAAGCTGAATCGAGTAGGTCTCTTTAACCTGCAACCACAACAATTGAAAATCAACCGACAACCATGATGAGAAATCGCGGTTGTTGTGGCAGTATTTAACTCGTGATCCTATGAGGACGGATCCTACTGAGAGCACAAGCTGATGGAGCCACGGATCGTGTGGGGGTTTTTCAGCCACTCGTCCCACTGCCCAGAACCCAGGGGTCCTTGGGGGAAGGTGTGGATTGTTTTAACCCCACTCTGAGCTGATGCTGGCGACTAGGGTCTAACTGATGACGCACCTTGAGTAATAATGCTCGAGTAATAATGCCCCAACTTGAGTAATAACACGGCAGATTGTGATGGGCGCACAGATATAACGGTTCGAGCTGCAGATGGAAAATGCAGCACAGAAGAGAAGTTAGGGTATGCTCGACTTGTAAAACAGGAACGGCGCGAGCAAAGGCGTATGACATGACCAAGCGAAACCAGCGCGTCAACAGGAAATGACGCCTCGCATTAGAAGCCACGTCAGCACGAAGCTGATTAGTGTCTGGATCACAGCAGCGAAGCTCTCTCACAGGGTAAACCCGTCCGAGCCATGATAGAAATCTGCGTCCAGAAAGAGTTGACTTGAACAGCACAACAAAGTCATCAGCACTCGAACAGTTAGGGGTTTACCTTAAAAGCTTGGCACCAGCACAGAATCGAACTCGCAGGAACTCGCCCAAAAAACTCGCTCAGCAGGGTAATGTTTATCTCACACCCTGTGGACGAAACGGTAGTCGGTCACACAGATGGTACAGCTTCCCCGCGGAGGCGAGTGTAGAGGTGCGATGCCGCCTTGCACGAGTCGTTACCGACTTCCCAGCACATCTGATCACAAACCGCCGTAAGGGAGGGCAAGCGGGACAGAAACAGTTAGGTCGAATCACGGAGATGTGCCAGTAGGAGACGTACGGACTGGAACGCTCCCCGTTTGAGATGTACCAGAAGGAGACTAATCGAACGGTTGCAGCAACGGCAAGGGTTCATCAAGCCCCCCACTGGGTAGGTATACTCGGCACTTGGGACAATCTCACTCCACAAGACACGGAGAGGTTGTACGGAGAATTTCGCCGAGATGGTGAGATGCGAGGGAAAAGAGGATGGTGGAGTAGGTGAAAAAGAGCGGAACAGGAGATCTGGTAGGCATGCAAGAGAGAAACATAAACTAATAGCAAGCAGTAAAGAGTCACGTCACGGTAGATGGGGGTCAGAAAGAACGCAGCAATTTTATCTGGTCATTGCGGGGCATGGCGAGCCATCCACACTCCGATTTGCAAAACTCAGTACTATTCGTCACTCCCCCATTAAAATAACGATACATATGCCGTATCGCATGTGGCTAGTCCAGAGGGGAAGAATGTACCTCGGGCGTGCGCGAAATGTCTCGAAGGAGACGAGCGGCCGAAGCAAGCTTCTTTGCGATGTGTCGGCTCAAATGAGCGAGGCAGGATGAGGCAAGTGTTGTCGCCGTTCACCAAACCGACGCAGTCCTATCATCCATCTGTAAACCAATCAAAACAACGAAGAAACAGAGTAAACATCAGGTATATTTAGAACGTGGGAAATGTTGCGAAGCGATTGAGGCTTTGGCGCACGGAAGTGGCTCTCCTCGTCTTCGACCGTGAGGGAGACAGAGGAGGTGCCACGGCACCCGCCTCACCCAGCCGTGCAGCTGCTCTACTTGGTGCGAGTCAGGCAGACCAGGGTTAGGAGATACCTGACGACTGCCTTAAATAAAACAGTCACCAAGAGTTCTGGAGGTAGCCGAACATGACAATACAAAATATATCTGAAAAAAAAAGCCGGTCGGATGAGGGGGATGGACGGAGAGTCAGCAGAGGACAACAGAGCTACACAGCCGTCGCCGCCACCCAGTTGTCACTGGGGTCTCTGTTGCAAGTCTCTGGAATCATCATCCTCAACCGCGCTTAGAAGTACTTAGCTCAACATAAAATAAACACGGTGCGACAAAAAGTTGCGGAAAATAAACACACCAGCAAAACACGCGCATTGGAGACGAAGATGGAAGGAGAGTCAGTAGGAAGGCAACAGAATTACAATCGTCAATGCCACCCAATTGGGTGGCTCGGTTGCGCATCTCTGTATTCGTCATTCCCTCGCGTACTAGCACGAAACAAAAAGGCGCAGGAAAAAAGTTAAGGGGGAAAGGATACGGTGGCCGGCTCTCTTCAGTTCAGGTCTCCAATTTGCTTCTTCAGCGCCCGGTTTCGGACAATCTCAGAAGAACGAAAGTATTGTTTGATCATCCGCAGAGAGACGGGTCCAGGGTTACAGAAGGATGAGATCGTAGGCCAGACACGGAAGGCCAGACACTAAGAAAATAACCACCATCAGCGTCGCACAGCCATCAGGCGTCAATTCTTCTCATTCGCAGGTTGAGCCGCGTCAGAAGGTGTCCTAAGGCTTTGACATGAGATAATTTCATCATAAGGCTGCTGCGGACCGACGGCATCAAAATAACGAAGGCATACGGCAGAACAGGGAAGTTAACTAAGACACGCTCAAAATAGGGTTTTAGAAAGACATGTCAGGCAGGTGGTTGGGGTCAGTACGAGATCGCCATCTTATTTTCCGTTTCACTGCAGCAATCGCTGTATCTCAAATCAAGTGTTGGATTTTGATGGCTCCTCACTCCCCAACTAAAACAGCCAAACCTATGAGACCAATGAAATTAAACAGAAAGATACAACGTGATTGATAACGCAAGCATGTGGAGCTGACATGCGGACAACCGCAAATAAGAGAAGGGTTCTTTTAAAAAGTCACAGGCCCAACTATCAGAACGGTGGTTGGGGTCAGTACGATAACGCGGAAATATTTGACGTTTCACTGCAGCGTCGCTGCACCTCAATCTAATTGCTCCTCACTCCCCAACTCAGACAACGGGTCAGATTAGTCCAATAATGATAATCACGAATGAAAAGACAACGTGAAGATGACAAGCGGACAAAAGAAACACCAGACGGGAGAAGACAGAAGCCTTGCTTCAATGAGCTCGATCGGGACTCCCGCCCTGAGTTTGAGGAAATGTAGCTTACCGGTGCGACGTGGCGACACATGCCCTGCAGTGCGATTGTGAAAGGATTGAACACGGCTGTGAGGAGCTTCCCCTCGCGCTGCTTCTCACTGCGGCTGCTGTGGCTTAAGCCTCTAGCTCTGAGTGCTAGAACTGAACTAAATGGACATGGTAGGGAGAGCGAGAGCGGGATGTTGGGATGAGGGACGGGAGAGAGGGAGATGATCTGCGGGAAGTGGTGGTAAGCACACCTTTGCTCTTATAAATTTCTCGAATAATACCAATACCCCTTCAATGTTTCTCGAGTTGGATAGTAACCTTATAAACGGTATTCGGTTTCAAAATTTGGGCATTTCATAACAAGAGTAATTTTCAATCACCTTCTGAAGATGAGCAACGTTTTCAAACCATGTTCAGACAATGCCGTAAATCACGGACGAAATTTACCATTCACTGTTGTATCCCTAATTGTGAAATCGTGTTGAATCCATGAATGTGTTTGTCAATTATCATATAATTGTCAATCAATATGGCGGATGGTATCGTTCAATCGAACAACATATTATGGCATCAACATGAACGCATGCTAATTTACTTGTGAGACTTTGTTGGAATAATTGAAGGCTACGATAACACTACCGAAGGCTTCACTTAGCGCACCGCTTCATAACGAGGTTGCGCATATGTACCACTATTACGTTAAGCTCGTATAAACGCGCGGCAGCTCGAGAGTCACTCGAAGGTCAACAGTCGCAGATAGTCAACGGTCGTGACTGTTGACCGGCCTTTAACCGTACTTGCAGGTTACACAATGCAACTCGGTAACTGTCAGGTAGGGCATTTGTCGTTGTTACAGTTACAATTTGAAAAGACTTCATAGGATCGTCTCAGGTTAATCGCACGTAGTGTAATAGCGGAAGGTTTGCTAGTGATTGTCAAGTACGTACCTGTCAGAATGTTATTGTTCTCTAGCCTGCAGTTGGGTACTCTATAGCGAGTACAACCCCTTAGGGTTCCCTATATGTACCCTGCTGCATTTTAGTGAACCCCCTCCTTTGCTCATTCTCTCTTGCCTAGCTAGGACTTACCTAGCTATGGCACCTAACTATACCTACTATTCTCACATGGTTTCAGAGCACTCACGCTCCTGGCCTGTGGGCCCTACAACTGCTTCCGCTGCTACTCTGTGTGTTGCACGCCCCGTGGCATGCGACGGATTTCTCTTCCCGCCGCGCGCTCGGAGCGTGCGGCGGTTTTTGTGAAAACAACGACGAGAATGGATCAACTATGAAAGAAGTGAGTACAAATAGGAAACCCTAATTGGGTTGTACCCCCTATGGGATACCCCACTATAGCCTACACAACTGCATAAGCTATAAAGTTCTGGCACACCCCCATAGGCAGAGTGGGGGAGAACAGGGGGTCACAAGACCAGTCAAGCAAAGTAAAGCAAAGCTCAGGGTGGATCACAAAGTCACCACACATTCTGAGCACAAGTTCAAGGCCACAAGGCAAGTTCACATGCAGGAGTACATATATATATAGAGCTAGACAAGCAAGAGCAGGTGTATATATATGTAACAGTACAAGCAAGGTCAAGAGGTGAGCAAGTGAGGCAAGACAGAGACAAGACCCAGCTGGGTGCAGAAGCGCTGATGATCACAAAGCGCAAGTGCCTTGGTGAAAACATCAGCAGTGTTGGCCTCAGAGGCCACGTACGCAAGCCGCAACTGACCACGCTGCTGTAGCTCACGAGCAAGGAAGTAGCGGAGAGCAATGTGCTTTGTTCTGTGCTCCAGTCGCTGCTCTCGACACAAGGCCAGCGTGGCCTTGTTGTCTACGTACAGAACTGGAGGAGAACGAGGCGGCTCTCCAAGGTCGGTTAGCAGGTAGGTGAGCCAGCGAAGCTCCTGTGCAGCCATAGCCCCGGCGTAGATCTCAGCCTCACAACTGGAGCCGAGAACAGAAGACGAGCGAGTAGCCCGCCACGAGACAGAGCCAGAACCAAGGCTGAAGGTATAACCCTGTGACGACCGCTGTGTAGCCTGGTCGTCAGCCCAGAAAGCGTCTGCCTTCCCAGTGAGGACCACTGGACTGACCCTCCAAGCACTAGCCCCATGCCCGACGTGCTGCACAAGTAGCGCAACACCCTCTTCGCTGCAGCCATGTGCTCTGGTCAGTGTCTCCCAGGAGCAACATAGCGTGCGAGAATGCTAAGAGGGTATGCAAGGTCAGGTAGTGTGCAGGTCATCAGGTACATGAGGCAGCCAACAAGCTCTGGATACGGGCCACTCGACTCTACGGACTCATCCGAAGGCAGAGCTGAGAGTGAGTGGCGAGTAGGCAAAGGAGTGGCCTGAGGCGAGGAGTACGTGAAGTCGAAGCACTGAATGACCTGCTGCACCATGTGTGACTTAGTCAGGGTAATGGTGCGGCGTGCTCTGTCCCGGGTGATCTGCAAGCCAAGGTAGCTGCGCAGTTCACCCAGGTCTGTGCACGTGTGTCTCTTCTTCAGCTCGGACTTCACGTAGGCGAGTCCAGCAGTGTCAGAAGTGGCAAAGACCAAGTCGTCGACGTACACGAGGATGTAGAAAGGCGGTAGAGAGGTGTCGGTGCGCAGAAACAGCGACGGGTCGGCTGTAGAAGGAGCAAACCCAAGAGCCGCAAGAGTAGTCCTCAGTGTGTCGTGCCACTCACGGGGCGCCTGTCGGAGGCCGTAGACTGGGCGCTGGAGACTCCACTGGGTACCAGGAGGGAACGACCCAGTGAAGCCAAGTGGGCGACGCAGCCAGATCTCCTCGTGCAGGCTGCCCTGCAAGAAAGCTGTGCTGAAGTCGAGGAAGTGCAGCCCGTAGTCACGGTGAGCGGCAACGTGCAGTAGCACCCGAAGAGTGATCATCTTCGGGGTGGGAGAAAAGGTCTGAAAGTAGTCAACTCCCTGCCGCTGAGTGAAGCCACGAGCCACGTACCGTGCCTTGAAGACAAGCGGAGAACCCGACGGCCGCTTCACCCTGAAAAATCCACATGCCACTGACGATGTTCGCCCAAGGAGGGGGGATAGCGTCAATGTAGGTGCCTGTGGACTTCCACGACGCCATCTCTGCATCCAGAGCTGCCTGCCACTGAGAAGAGTAGGGACCCTCTATCGCCTCCGCGTAAGAGCGCGGAGTCGGGATGTCAAGTGCATCCGGGTCTCCCTTAGGGGAAAGCAGTACGGACACGAGATGAGGTGAAGCAGTGGCCAAGCACTAGAACTCCTCCTGCCTGTCCTCAAGGACGTCCGTGCCAAGGGCACACTCACCCCCGACGGACGAAGGACAGACAGACTCAGACTCAGCGACAAGACTAGCAGCGTAGTCCAGGCGACCGCGAGCAGCAAAGTCGACGAGCTCAGTAACTAGGGCAGACGCAGCAGTGGACTCGAAAGAAGGGTCAGTGACGACAGTAGCAAGGAGACGCGTGACAGTAGGACTGACAGCACGAAGAGAGTCCGACTCCGGGTCGACAAGAGTAGGAAGAGAGGACGCAGGGGGAGAAGGCAAAGGGGCACGCAGAGGAGCAGTGGACGGACGCAGAGACATCTGGTGCGTGCCAGGGACAGGAGGAGGACGCTGACGCGAACCGCGACCACTAGTGCGAGAAGCACGAAGAGGCGACGCAGGACGAGATGCAGGCTCACAACGCTCAGCAAGACATCCAGTAGGACCAGTGTAGGGAGAGGGAGCAGGTAGAGGGGAGGCAGGCTGTAACTGTAGCTGTGACTGGACAGGCTGTGGACACTCTAAAGCAGGAGGAGGACCCGTAGAAGATGGAAGACCAAGAACCTGCTGCAGGAGTGGAACAAAGTACGGCCGAGGTCGCGCGGCGACGCTAGACACAGCAGGGACAACACCAGTACCCCCAGAAGGAGCACCCGCTCCAGCAGCACCCCCAGTAGCTCCAGAACCCCCAGCAGCACCAGTAGTATTGAACAACGAATGAATGAACTAACAGTGAAATGAGTACAAGTAGGAAACCCTAGAATTGTGTACCCCCTATAGGCTAACCCACTGCAGCCTAAACAACTACAACATATATATGTAATGTTTGACAAGTAGTACCTCCAGCAGGACCGCGGGTAGGAGGCTCAGCACCAACGCCCTCAGCAGCACCAGCTACAGTCGAACCCGCAGGCCCAGCAGCTCCAATACTCCTAGTACGAGCACCTCCGGGACCCGCGGCACCAGCACCCTCAGCAGTCGAAGAACCTCAAGCTCCAGCAGCACGCCTCCAGCGCCGTGCAAACCACTTGCGCAGCTCCGGGGGAGAGAGTGGCTCCCGGCGAGACGAAGTCCCCTGAGGACCTCCAAGCGTAGCACCTCCAGGCTCAGCACCCCTAGTCGCAGCACCCCTAGGCTCAGCACCTCCAGGCTCAGTACCCCCAGCCATAGCACGCCCAGGCTCAGCATCCCCAGGCTCAGCACCCCCAGTCGCAGCACCCCCAGGCTCAGCACCCCCAGTCTCAGTACCCCCAGGCTCAGCACCCCCAGGCTCAGCACCCCCAGTCCCAGCACACCCAGGCTCAGCACCCTCAGTAGCACCAGAGTCACCAGTAACCTCGACAGGCTCGACTACGTCTACCTGGGACACACCTGAAGGGGCAGGACCCTGAGGGGGAGGGGGTCTACCGGGGGGGGACCTGGTACAAGGAAGAGCGGGGACGGGGGGAGAGACGGAGTGCGGTAGGGGAAGAGGCGGTAGTAGGGGACCGACTCGTCAAACGTGACGTCCAGGGAGGACAAAACACGATGAGAGGTAGGGTGGTAGAACTGCCACCCAGGCGCGTCAGGGGGGAACCCGAGGAAGACGCAAGGAGCAGCACGAGGGGACAGCTTGTCCGCAGACGAGTCGCGGACAAACGCCCGAGATCCCCAGACCCGGAACGCCGACGCATCGCCAACCTTCCCCGTCCACAGCAAGGCTGGGGAGGTCTCCGGCCTGGAGACCCTGGGGTGATGGTTGAGCTGATGCGCCGCGTACCTGACCGCAAACGGCCACAAAAAA